ACCAAAATCTTCCGCCCCACCTTCCCCCCCTATCCAGGCGATAAATAATTACGAATCCTTCTCACCCCTTAGTGGAGTTAGGTAAATATCTTATTACCAAACACTAGGGCTCGAATTAAAATCTTGTATACAAGTGTTTGCCACGAACCATCTTTTGTTCACTAATAATAAGCTACTATCTAAGTGAATGCTCGATCCAGGGTATAAAAATATATATCCAACTTGATGAGACAAATGTTATTCTTACTTCTAACGGAACTTGTTTCTTCTCAGACCATTGAGTGGAACCAAACCTGTATCACCAAGAGGCCATTACATACTTCACACTGCTTTGCTGAAATTTTTCGATGATAAAGTATCTTTAACTCAAGGAGAAATAAACAAGAATTCAAGTACTGTCAATGGTTTTCTTGAGAGTTTGTTACCTTTGATACAACAACAAGATGAACTTTTTGGGCTGAAAAAGCTTAACACGGGTAAGCCGCCATTCTCAAATCGAGTGTTATTAAAAAGTGAGGTTAAGTAAGATTAAAATATATTTTGACAGATTTCCAACGTGGGGGGTGGGGGAATGGAGGAGATTTCATTGAATATGGGATTTTCATGAATTCCGATCGTTCTTAGGGAAGTGCGTTGGTTTCAAGAGAAAAATGGGGAGGAAATGGAGAGGAATGTTCTAAAAACGTATTTACTTTTATGCCTCTTTTTTTTTTAACAGGTAGCTATTATGAGAAATTAAGGGTTTCTCAGCCAAATGAATTCGACACCATGTTGGTGTTCGATTCACACCGAATCACAAAGTTCTTTAACATAGAATACAACTTTCGGGATCCTTCAACTATGTTGTTCGCGAAACTCTTGTTTAAAGATCATGTTCTTAAAGGAAGAGAACTATGGGGAGCTTTCCTAACGGCGGATGGAAAATACCTCTCGCCCACAAAATTATTGAGACATTTCTTCTCCTCGGTATGCAAAGCAGTGAAACTTCTTGCGAGGGATCAGCGACATCGGGTTTCAAATGTTCGTCAGAATGGCCCAGCAGTCACGCTGAAAATCGATGGGAAAATCGAGTTTGATTTAGTTCTGAGCATCGAGATTTTGGAGTGGCCGAGGTGTGCGAGTGGCTGGGGTAATTTTTCCTCGAAAGGTAGCTGGCCAACGAAACATCAAGTTGAGGAAATCAGAATTTCTCAACCCAAATGTTATCTGGTGGCGAAACCTTGCGATGCAGAAAGGTCTCTAGATTCTCGTGTGTTCTGGCGAATCTCCTTTTCAGAGGCTGAGAAAAAGCTTTTATTGCCTAGCGATTCGGACAAGAAATATTACAAGATTGTGAAAGCTATCTTTCAGGCTAAAAAAGAGGAATTGAGACCACTTACTTCTTTTCACCTAAAGAACGCGTTCCTCCTTCATCGGTGTGAAAAACCCGACAAGTCCAATTTGGCACGAAGCGTGTTAGAGTTTATTCAGAATCTGATTCAACGAATGAGAAAAGGTCTACTACCTCACTTCTTTGTTTCGCGTGTGAATCTTTTGGCAACGATTTCACAAGATGACCGACTGAAAATTGCCCGAAGACTAGAGAACTATCTCGTCCATCTGGTAAAAAGACCAAATTGCTTTCTACCAAGTTTAAATCCGTAAGTTAGTGAAAGTAAATTGTAATGTTCGGCTTTTTTAAGACCACGAATCGCTCTAGACTCAGTCCGGAAGAAAAGCACGACAACAGTGCGGAGAATCATTAGTTCATAACTTTTTGGAAAAATTAGTTCCCACTGCACCTTTGTAAACGCTTTTCCTATACCACATACCAGATTGCACGTTTTATTAAAAAAGTCTTTAAATATGTTCAGGTCTCGCTTAACATGGCACTTGCCTCATTGATAGCTAATTGGAAAACTAATTACAGTTAGTTTTCTCGTTAGGAAAAGAGAGAGAGTATTTAAGCAATTTATGAATTTGTAGCCAACAAGAGAAACAAAAAAAAAAAAAAACAAAAAAAAAAAAAAAAAAACCAACAAAGGGTAACTATAATCGGGCAAAAATTCAAGTTATTTTACCAGGGTAGGAGGATATTTTTCCCACAAAATTCTTAACTCTTTATACCCAAACATCAGTGTGCATATTCTCCATACTGTTCTCTTTACATTCCCTGAGGTTCTGACAAGGAGAAATTGTTGACAAATCAAATGCTTTTTTAGTTAGTGATCATTTCCTCCATCCTCGTGACCTTAATGCGTGATTTGTGTTATTTTAAGGAAAAATTAGGTGCTGGTCACACTTAGGAGTCAAAGGGTAAAAATTGGATGGAAAGAACACAATGTCCTTGAACTTTCTCTGACCAACTAAATACAAAATACAACGCACAGTAGCAGCCTTAATTTACAGCGGCCTTTTCCACCCCATAAGACAAGTTACTCGAACACAAAAGCATTTATATCAAGGTCTTGACAACTTATTGATTATTGGAGAATAAAAAAAAGCAGAGAGAAATGATAATTGTCCTTTTATGTAGTGGTTCTACACAAAAGCAAACATAACTAACAGAATGGAAAACTTGAAAATGTACTCTTGTAAGTGATCCGAAAACTAAATGTATTGAGAACAGCTTCAGACATAAGAAAAAAAGATAACAGACGGTTGAGTAAAAAAACCTTTCCCTTTCTTTTCTTTTGATCAAACTTGTTTACAAATGTTGTAACTATAGTTATGATATTATTAATAACATTTCTAGTAACTACTTTGTACTGCTAAATTAAAAGTAACCAAAACTTTTGTTTTACATCAACTCAGTCTTTGATCCTATCTAGTAGCTGACTAAAACTGCCCTGGAAAGAATAATTATTGAAGTAATTCATTACAATTTGCATTGGAAGTCTACATTTTTGGTCAAGGGCCAATTTTATCTCATTTTCATCAGGTGGGGGAGGGGAAGCTAGATCATGAAAGTACTCATAGCATTTCTCAACCATAGGAACAGACTTATTCACTTAAATAGTTGAGAAGCCAAGAAAGGTTTTTGTTGCTTTGATTGTTTTGTTACCCCAAGCAGACCACATTTACATAATGATCTGTTCACAAATTATCATTGTTTGGGAGAATGCGATTGAATTTTTTAACAGGGATGAAAGAGCCCCTCTTTCTACAACATCACATAATCTGAATTAAGGCAACAAAACAAACAAGCTTCATATCTGTAAAATTGCTCAATGACAATTTTCTAGCTACAAAATTTTCAAACCCAAAAATGGGGCTGGTCATTTTTAATCAACAGATGGTGAAGTGAAGTGACAAGAACCTACCTGACAAAGTCAGTGACTTCTCTGGTGGAATTTCCAGAGACTTGGGATTTGTATGTTAACTTTCATGTACATATCTTAACAAAATCTTGGTAACAAAGCAATTTGAGATTACTTCATAGTTGCTTCAGATTCCTACCTATATCTGAGTTTGGTAAAATCATGATGTGTTTGGAGCTAAGTGACTACCATTATTATTAATTGTCCTTGTTTTTGTGAACACAGTCACCCCAGTCAAGTCCTCCACAGGCTGCTGATATGATAAAGTAGAGAACCAACTGTGCAAAAAAAAAAAAAAAAAAATGGTAACAATTTTTAAAATTTGTTGTTTCAAAAATATACATTAAAACTCTCTCCATCACCTCTATTTGACATACTAGGGTAGGGAGAGGAAGGGGTAAAAAAAAAAAAAAACAAAAAAAAAACCAAAAAAAAACCAGTAAAATGTGAGAGTCTTTTAATTAGAGGGAGATTGGCACAGAGAGTAAAAAGTGGAGACAGCTTAACCCTTTAACTCCCATGAGTGACCAAGACAGAATTTCTCCTTAAAGTATCAATACAATATCAACCATATCAGTGATGAGAATATAAGAATACTATCAATTTGGGGAAGATTAGTTGATCCAATACTAAATTCTCTGAACTAACATTATAAGAATTGCATGGTTGACAGTAAGGAGAACTACAAATTTGATCTAAGAGCGACCAGCATCCAATTTCTCCTTAGAGTAATGCTGCTGAATCATTCATTAAGATCATGAGACTAAAGAAAATGATCACCAAACTAAGAAGCTTTCATTGTTTAAGAAATTCTCCTTGTCAGTACCAAAGGAAATATATAGAGAAAAGTATGGAGAATATTGATACTGAACCAACTTCCATATACTTACAATAATAACAACCACAAGTATTATAGTAATTTTGACATTCTTCCACCACATGGCTCTGGCCAGGCCTTTGCTTGATTTCTTGAAAGTGAGGGACTAGGAAAGAGGAAGATCAGTAAATGGGACACTTATTCAAGCAACAATGTTACAGCACAATTAACTAAATAATTATTGAGAACTCACTGAGGTATTAAGGTCTTCTGCCTTATCAATCAAGAGTTCCAAACGTTCTCCTCTTTGTGCGATGGTGTCTGTTTTCAAAATCAAGAAAATATTATCAGTATTAAGATGAGTGACTACCCATGGATAAGCACTATATCCTTGGACATTGTTCTCTTGTTTATTTAAATCAAAGATGACCTTAACACACATTTTAGAAAACAAAAGAATGCAGAGATCATTTGTAAGAAAAGCAACTTCAATTTCTGACATAAAAATAAAACACGTCCACATGTCCTCATAACCTAAAATCTTTTTCTCTTAAAGAAAGTTTGAATCAACCCTTGTTAAATTTGTTAATTGAAAAACTTCCTTTGCGAAAAGTAAAACTGCCATGTTGAGAAACTTGGTTACCATAAGGACAAGGTTTTCTTCACAACTGTAGGCTGACACAAATGGTTTGTTCACTGTGTGCACCATAAACTTACCAGGAGAAATTTTGGTATTTCGTCAAAATCTACAGAGTAAAAAATGTTTTTTCTTCTCTTTCATGCAGCCCTTACCAATATTTTTCACCATGATTCCTCTAAGTTCATCAAGTTCTCCTTGCACTTTTGACAGGTTATCTGCCTGATGTTCAGTATCAGAAAACCTTTTCTGTAAAAGAAGATGCTCAGATAAGAAATATATTTAATAAGGGGTGATTTCACAGAGAGGCAGTGGGAAGCATCAATTGGAATAAAAATATCTTTATGGAAAAAATGTGTGTATCTTTAAGGCTGAAAATAGATGGATTGAACAATATACTTACCATTTCAGCTGAAAGGACTCTTGAAAATTCACTGTTCATAGCATAAGGCAGTGCTGTTTGTGCACGGCCATGATATGCAGTTTGAAAACTGTAACAAAACAAACAAGTTCACCATAACTACGGTGATGACAAACTAGAGAAATCGCTAATCCATAACAATAATACAGTAATACTGGAAGCTACGGTAAATGAAGCATGAGAGGCAGTACTTGCTCACCGTTTCTTAATCTCTGTCAGGTAAAGAAATGCTTTGGACCTTTCAAAATCCTGAATTCAAAGACAGAATAAACAAACCATTTAGTGGACCTCTCAGATGCTAACTTGGGCTAAAGTTGAAGCAATGTAGAAATTCAAAGATTGTTAAATTTTACAAAAATTATTTTTGTTAACTTACATCATCTGTAATGCACAAATAGACCACTCTGTCCTCTGATATGTAGTGAAACAGGTAGCTGTAAGATTGAAATATCAAATGAATTCACAATGATTTAAGAGGATGATATAACAAAATTTAAAAATCAAATACTATGAAAACTCAATTTAGGCAAAACATGCTCTTAAGCCTAGTGGTCCTCATTGACCCTTTGATTCCCATGAGTGACCAAGAGAGAATTTCTCCTTACATTACCAATACAATATCAAGAGTACAAGTGATGAGAATAAAGAACAAAACTCAATTAGGGAACTAAAAGTTGATCCACCACTAAATCCTCCAAATTGATATCATGTGTATTTTATGGCAGAGAGTAAGGAGAATTGCTAATGAGATCTTGGGAGTAAAACGTTTGAAGGTCCCTGCCCAGTTGTTTAATTATGGTGATATTCCTTAAAATCATTTCCATGTTGTCAATTATTCAAGTTTTCAGAAGAAACAAACACACCAATTTGGGAATATTGCTTGATAAAATTACCAAATTCTTGCACACAAATTCATAACAAAAAACAATTAAATAAAGAAATAATATGAGTGGACCCAATGTCAGGTTAAGGATCTCTTTAGTAATTGTAAAAAAAAATTTTCATTATTTTAAGTGCAGACAAATTAGCCCTTTTGGCCTCGCTTTTGCATGGAAATTCCCTTGTTTTTTTTTAAACATGATGTCAAGGCTGGCTTAAAAGGCTAATTAAAACATAAAAGAATAGCAAATTGGCTTGCAATTTCTAGGAGAGGTCAAGTGTTTAGTTCTAATTTGATTTATATCATGAAGCTTGCAATATTGCTTTGATACAATTACTGATGTCCTGTTGACACTTACTTTCCCTGGGTGTAAGTAAGTTTTGAATTCTCTGGCGGAATTCGACTCAAAATTTGTTCTGTAACCTCTGCAAAGTTTCCAGCACAAGAGGCAAACTTGGCTAACACTGTTGTGCCTCTTGCTACAACACTGTACAAGATTGGCATGGCTCTTCTATAATCTAAAAAGCAATTAAAATTAAGCTTCAAAAATCAGAATATTCTGGATGTAAGAGTACAATTTTTTCATTAAATGTACCTTAAGTTAGATAAATCATCTATTAAATACATTGCATACCTGACTTTGGAAACATTTTGGAAAAGAAATTTTTGAAATTAAACCACCGAGATTTTCCAAAGACAATATATCTTAACTCATCTATTGTTGATTTGACTAGTTGTAAACAAAGGTGATTGTACCATTATAAGTATAAAAACAGTACTTCAACAGATAACTCCAAAAAAGTATTTATCGAACTTGAAATAAACATATATTATTATTTACACATAAGCTACTTTTTTATCAAACAGAGAATGCTTATCATGTGGTGAGAAACTTTTTGTGTGTTTCAATGCTTTTGCCCATCAAACATGAGACTTTCACATGACATGTGACATGTTGGGGGAATACCAGTGCTATAGAACCAAACAGATCATAGGAGATCTATACTTAATTTCAATAATTTGTGTAGGTAATCAAATGACTTCTAGAGCAATTTTGATAAAAAAGCACAAGTAAGGTTTTCAAAGGCTACAAAATGTACCAGTCTAAGTAAGTGCGATGTGTAGTCTTTGAAAAATGTATGCAAGCTTGTTCATTCCAAATTACACTAAATGTGGTTACTTTTCACTGAAGTACAGAGCCCAGTTTTTTGAAAGCTGATTAGCGCTAACCCAGGGTTAAATTTTAATCTGGGTTTCTATACTTCTTTGTTTGATAGCCTTTTTGGGATCATTTTCTCTACTCTATATGGAGCATCCAATCATCAAATTGTTGACAAAAAGAATTATACTTAATTTTCTTTTAAAGCTTCCAGAACTGAAATCCAATTTCACACTAACCCTGGGTTAACTAAACCCAGCTTTGAACAACCCAGCCCAGTTCTTTAATAGTCCATTTTACAGTTGTGTGCTTGGTTGCCAAGCCTTTGAACAGGAATGAGGCTAAGGGTGACCTTGTTATGATACAAACCTTGCTGCTTTTCAAATGCAAATTACTTTGTTATCATGCTAACTAGATACTGGTCTCTATCACAACAAGGTCACCTTCAGCCTTACTCCAAATCAAAGGCTTGGCAACTAAGTACACAACTGTAAAATGACCTATTCAATTTCTTATTTTGTGTGACGTTAACCAAAGTGCTCTTTTCTGAAAAGCATGCAAAAATCCCTGCTGGAATTTTGATAATTCAGAAACATTAAGAAATTGAAGCATCTATGGATAGCCATGATATAACCTAAGACCAGTCAGACTGTGTGTATCTTAACAATAAAAACCAATATCAAATTAAGATAAACTTATTTTTATATAAGTGTACCCACCCCCTGAGGCACCATTCTTAATTCTGGGGGAGGGGTAGGAGAGTCTTATATATATCTTATATGCCAACATATAATCCTTTTCCTACCTGGATATGACAAACAAGTAATTTGTCCTTACCAGATCAATGCCTTGTCCACCAGAAAGGTGACAAGAATAAATAAAAATATCATCCCAAGAAAATTGATCCATTACCACCATATTCTTACTTTCCTATAACTTAAATTCTGAGAAATGACAAATAGAAATTGGGGAGAATCGGTATCGAAATCTTGGGAGTATCATTTTAAGATCTTTCCAAGTCTAAGTTCAAACCAAACCTGGGTGAGGAAACAGATATTTTTGGAAGTGATACAGTTAGCTTGTAATTGACTGTTTTGGAAGGTTTGTAATGGTATACACTGAGGAATATCTACTTTTTCCATGCGAATTTATATCATAATTAATTAAAAAGCTTGAAGCATTAACAAGCCCTGACCGTAGACGGAACTAGAAATATAATTGGGATGGCATGTTGTTGCAGATTCTTATCCTTTATCCAGATTCTTATAAAGGTCTTAATACCAATTATAGTTCTGCACTGTTTAATGATTGCTGATAACTACAGAAACAGAGAATTAGCAGTTCATAAACCTCTACTTAAACCGCAATTCTAAACTGAATGCAGTGCAGCACAGACAATGTCTGTAAAAACTGCTTCAAGACCCAAAAGTTACTCCCTACACATTGAGAAATGTGAGAGAGAAAAAGGTAAAACGATTTAAAAAAATCACAAAATAAAGCTGAAGAAACTATTAATAACTTCAATCTTTCATTGCCCAGCTTACCTTTCGTTTTGGGTGAAAATTGAAGGTTCCTTTCGTTGAAATGCTTCAAATAGAATCTACACCATTTACCTATTGAATGACGTCATTGATAGGTATATGGTGTCAAATACACGAAGTATTCAAAGCACCCTTGTTTTCCCGCTGTCCTACTCTATTGTTCTACTCGGGTTATGAAATATTTCAACATGGCGGCCGACGATAAAGGAGCCGATCCTGAAATAGGCGGACAGTTACGCCGATTAGAAGTGGTAGGTATTGATTCTAAGGAAAATAAAGCATGGAAATACTTGTGATCACATATATGTAAAATCGTAGTTAGCTGGTGCGTTGGTCCTGTTTTAGATGCCCCTAGACAGTGGAGAGGATGAAACATGTGTCACATTTGTTTTGCACGGAGAAGACCATACGCTGGGAAATTCTTTGAGATACATCATCGCGAAAAAGTAGGGCGACTTTTAATCTTATTTAAGCTACAGATGATTTTGGTACAAAAAAAGGTACAAAACCAGTTATTGTTGCTGCTCAGAAGTCTTGTCTCAGAAGTTGCGTTTGGTTTTTATTTATTTTCGTTTTCTTAAAAGTTTCACTACGGTACTCTCGTCTGCCTATACTTATACTTTACAATCATTACTGAAGATTTAAATGAAAGAAGTTTTTGAAGATTGATGTTTCGCTTTTTCCTTTATGTGAAGCCCTGATGTAGTGTTCTGTGGGTACAGCATTCCACATCCATCAGAGAACAGGATCAATCTCCGAATCCAAACAAATGGTTAGTGGGTGTTGTAAAGACAAAAATTGAAAATAGAACTTTTTTGCGTGTTACTACATTTAGAACCTCTGTTTTTTTTTTGAGACAGTTAACCTAATTTATAAAAAATTTACAAAGTGTAATGTAGGATATGATCATGGATTTACATGGCAGAGTGTGAGTACAAATTTTATCTCTGAGAATCCCAAGCAGGAATCCTGACAACAAATCCAGTTGTGTACTGACAGACAGGGGCATTTGAATCTTTGACCTCCAGCCTTCACATTGAGTCCTAAACCACACTGTCACAATGTCATTACATTAGTAAGATGATCAGCCTCATTATTCCTGATCTGTCATTACCACATTTGCTATGGTTTTAGGTATTCCTGCTGTAGATGTTTTGAGAAGAGGTCTATCAGAACTCACTGCAATGTGTGAACACATGCTTGCTACATTTGAGGTAAGGTTATCAGTGCGTTAACTTGATCATTTACCATGTGTTGTGTGTTAAAGTTGTAAGGCAAGCCTTTTCCAAGGCTCCCTTAATACTGGGGCTTGTTCTACTCTCATTAGTGAAAGCAACTCTACATTAAGTTTTTTGAAACATTGATAGTACTTATTCTTACCAAGCAAAAAATAAGAAGTCTCCAAGGTGGAGAAAAGCACTGTGAAAGTAGAGTTATACCCAAGAACACAACACAGTAATCCTTTCACTCCCAGAAGTGATCAGCATAAAATTTTTCCCTGGACAATATCCATACATTCTTCAGCAAACAGGTGATGGGATTATTCAAACTTATCAGGTAGAAGCTGCTTTCATGATCTAGCACCAAGTTCTCATATCTAATTTACAAGGAAATTTGTGGCAGGTACAGGGGAGAATTAACAATCAGATCTTGGGAGTTAAAGGGTTAACTTGCATTTACACTATGTTGTACACCTGTTAACTACCATGGGTGACCAATACCAAATTTCTCCTGTCAATGTTAAGCAGACAAGTGATCAGAATAAAAAAAAAACATTAAATAGGGGATAATTAGTTGATCCAAAAGCAAATTCTCCAAACTAACATCATAAGAATTGTATGGTAGACAGTAAGGAGAATTACTAATGAGATTTAAAGAGTGAAAGGGTTCATTTGATTTATTTGTTTACAGACTGCAGTTGAAGAACACAAGGATACTCAAAATTTAGAAGTGTCGCCATAGGATTGGATGTTTTTTGCCGTTGGAAAGAAAAAACAGAAAGTTTGAAATCATCCAGGATAAGAATCAGCATCAAGAAGAAAATCAAGGTTGGATGTGCTGTATTTGGACAATGAGAGATGTTTCAAGCTAGTTTATTACTGGCTCAGCCTTGAAGTGGAAGCTGAGGCATAAACAAGACTTGCCAAGCACTTACGTTGCTCCTGTCATTTTCTTTGTTGTCAATATTTTTCAACAAAAACTGATTTGTTAATGGCTTAAGACGAATCTTCAGAGATAAAGTTTGTCAAACACTTTTTGTTAATCTTTTGATTGAAACCTATCAATCTGTCTCTAGAGAACTGCAATAAAAAAGTTAATGCATTTGGGAAGGAGATATGATGGGCCAATCTTACCCATTTATGCCTGTACTGGTATTATTTACCCATGATTTCACAGAACATTTTGTGGTAGCTGGAAGCATAGGTTTTTGAAGTAACACCTGAAACAATGCTTGATTGGTAGAAAGTCTTGAGTGTATGGAACAAAGTAATAAATGATTTAGGTATTAATTTGCAATCTTGAGAAACATTTTACTCGCATACTTTTACTTTTGACCATACCCATATTTCTTCAGGTTATTTTTTTTTAAACTTTTGTTATCTAAAAGGATAATCTGTACACTCAAATTATGAAAAAAAAAATGTCATTGTGCTTGTTCAAGAGCAAAAGACCATCTCTTGTACAAAAAAGACAGTTCTGGAAAAATTGAAATTTTGCGCTGGGAAATATTTGCCTGCAGCCAATTAGAATTGATACCTTCGCACATGCCCGACCTTTGGCTGCTGCGTTTCACTAAGGAAGAGCAGGGACGAGGGAGAGGGAGGAGAAGTTTGTTTTATTGAAAACGAGGCTAAAGTCCTCTCCACTGAAAGCGATTTGAGAATTGCTCAGTCTGTGTAGTGGGCAGTTATGGGGCGAGTGAAGAATCTAATTTTGGTTTTTCTGGCTATTATTGTGACAGCAGTGCTTCTAAGGAGACTGCTAGGAGTATATGCCTTCATAGTTCCCCTTCTTTATATGTTTTTTGACGTGAATTGGAGTCTACGCGTGACGTGGATTGTCTTGAGAAGGATTATTTTTAGTAGAGCTTTGTCCCCTGATTTCTTGGAAGTATTTGAGACGACTTTCATCGTCCTTCCGTCGGATATTGATCTGAATCTTCACATGAACAATGCTAGGTGAGATATGTAACCATGATGAATGAACAGTTTCCAGGGGAATATTTGGAATTGTGTTTCCAAAAGGAAATATCATGTCTCTGATCATGAATAAATAATATATCATTGTATTTATCCAAAAACGTATTTTCTTGAAACAGGAACTTGATTCAAACTATATTTTTTGGTTCTCTGACGGGGAAGCAGCACGCTTTATCTTAAATTAACGATTTTAGTATTTTTTTTGAGGTTCTGCGCTCTTTATAATTACATTAAGGCCTCATTCCTTTTCTCACATATCTTTTCGAAACCAGTTACCATTTTTTTCTTCTTCTGGAACACTGACGATCCTTTCGCTTTTTATTCATGTTAGCTGTCTTTTCTTTCACTTTCTTTGTGTGTTAAAAAAATATGACTTTCTAGGTACATGTATTCCTATCGTTTGTATTGCACTGATGTCCTTGACACAACCTAACTTTCTCTTACTTCAATAAATTATCAGGAGTGTTCGACAAATCCTCAAAATGGCAGCACTGGAAATGAAATTTATGTGACTGAAAATTCTAAGAATTAGTGAGAATGCTGGCTGGGATGTTATTTCTTATAAAAAATTTGTTGGTGATTTTCTAAAATACTGCCTGTAGCTTGCAAAATTGTACTTTGTATTTCAACATGAAAATGAAATGACAAGGGATGTTGAAGTAACATGGTAGTGCAGAAGCAGGAAAGATTTCATGTAAATGCTCTTCTGTGTTCTGCATTAAGTTTTTTTTTCAAGTGAAAGCTGTAAGAGAAATCATTTACTTTTAAACACAATTATGGGGACTAAGGGTACTTCTGCTGCTAGGGTGGTCATACGCCAGCATTTTATTGGCATTTGGGAACAGTTAGGATTTTTAAGCAAATGAAGATCATCGCAGTATATACTCAACTTAAGCAGTTGAGAAATAAGGCCTGAAAAAAATTCAGGCCTGAACGGGAATCGAACCCATGACCTCTGCGATACCGGTGCAGCGCTCTAACCATCTGAGCTATCAAGCCAACTGGGAGCTGGTCAATTGTGAGTTCGTTATATACCCGTAGATGGAGAAGGTGTGATAAGAATACATGAAAGTCATATATTTGTACTGCGGAAAATACATTTTTATTTTTTTGCTTAAAAATGTATTTTCCGCAGTACAAATATATGACTTTCATGTATTCTTATCACACCTTCTCCATCTACGGGTATATAACGAACTCACAATTGACCAGCTCCCAGTTGGCTTGATAGCTCAGATGGTTAGAGCGCTGCACCGGTATCGCAGAGGTCATGGGTTCGATTCCCGTTCAGGCCTGAATTTTTTTCAGGCCTTATTTCTCAACTGCTTAAGTTGAGTATATACTGCGATGATCTTCATTTGCTTAAAAATGTATTTTCCGCAGTACAAATATATGACTTTCATGTATTCTTATCACAGTTAGGATTTTGTTGTTAAATTGTGAATGACCACTATTTTTGACAAACATAGGCTAGCCTTCCTCCAACATAATTTCCTTGCAGTGTAAGGTAATCAAAAGAGGGTAACAGGAACATGATTACCAGCAAAGTGTCGTAAAGAATTGTTACCAACTCTTGATTAGCTATGGTGTAAAATTTAGCTCTTGCTTGAAAAAATTAATGCCTTTGTCTACTTCAGGTATCTCCGTGAATGTGACTTTGGAAGAATTAATTTGTGGATTTCAAGTGGAATGATGCGTGTAATGAGAAAGAGTAGGTGTGGTGTGACAATCGCTACTGCTAGTGTGCGTTATCGGCGATCGCTTGAACTTTTTCAAAAAGTATTTCTGAAAACAAGAGTCATAGCATGGGATGAGAGTGCTTTCTATTTAGAGCAGCAATTCACAGGAGAGGATGGCTTTGTTTATGCAGTTGCACTAACAAAGAATACAGTAGTTCAAGGAAATAAGAGAGAAAAATTTATTTCACCTGAGGAACTAGTTCACCAACTGACTGGATGGAATGCACCTAGTCCACCCATACCTCATGACTTACATCTTTGGATTCAGTACAACAGTGCATCAAGTGCTATGTTGAAGAATGCTTTGTGAACATTGTACTGTTGATCAGTGATTTGGTAGCTTGGAGAACAAGTGTGATTTTTTTTTGTGCTTTTCAGGAGATTGGAGGTAATTGTGAAGTGAACATAAAATGCAGGTTATGCTCAAGGGGAAGAGCTTGAACAATAGTATGCATACATGTGTTATTTTTTTGCACTCCTTGCTTTTTGCCTGCCTCTGTTCACCTGAAAGATGCAAAAAAATTACATCTGTCCTGTAGGCTAGTTATTTGGTAACTTAATTTACAATAAAAGTTTCCCACTTGGCACACTTCATTTGGTGGTCATGTAGTAACTGCAATGTTTATATTACTTTGTGTTTTATAACTTAAATCAAGTGTAAAATTTGCCAAAAATAATTTAATAAATGCAGCTCCATTTTCCCTTAAAGAAATTCTCTCTGTTTCCTTGCTTATTTGAGTATTAAGCCTGAAATGAGTCATTTAATTTGTGTTTGGCATTTTTGTACAATAGTTACACTTAATTCCAGTGTGAGAGAAGTCTTTTGCATAACCAAGCACCACTGGAGCACTCCAGAAATCACTCTATCTTTCCAAATACAACATTATCCTCCCAAAAATAATTATTGAAATAATGTTTCAGATATTTCATTTTGTTGTTTTGTGGAATATAGTTGCAGATCCAATATAAAGATAAAAAATCTGAATTTACATTGAATTTTAAATTATCTCAAACTTTGTAAATGGATTATCATGCTAGGCATTGAGGAGGCAGCCAAATTTGCCTGGATATTGTTTGGATATCAGGCTAACTTGTTTTTCTGACTTACTAGCAATTTTTAGAAAGCTATTCTGATGATATTACTGTTAAGACAAAAATTCCTTTACTTTCCACTCAAACTTTGACTTTTCACCTTGCGAAAACAAAAATTGTTAGGCGTGTACCTCATGTTCCTCAAAAGTAACTTGTTATTTTGAACCTGAAACAGAGTTACCCATCACTCACTTCGAACCGAAGTGTCTCACTCTCTGCTCTATCACGTGATGCTCAGCTAATTTGAAGGAACGAAGGTAATCAGAGGTACATAAGTTGTTCTTGTCTCTTCTCCCGGTATGATTTGTTAATTTGTACGCTACGGCGAATCAGAATGTCTAGCAAGTCAACGTTTCTAAAAGTTGTTCTGCTCGGGGATGGCGGTGTTGGAAAGTCTTCGCTGATGAACCGATTTGTAAGCGGCAAGTTCGACACGCAATCCTTCCACACAATTGGAGTGGAGTTCTTGAATAAAGATGTGAATGTCGAAGGACAGTCCTACACCTTACAGATCTGGGATACAGCTGGCCAAGAAAGGTTTAAAAGCTTAAGGACGCCTTTTTATCGGGGATCAGACTTGTGTTTGCTTGTTTACGCCGTTGACGATGTTCAAAGCTTCAAAAATTTGGCAATGTGGCGGAAGGAATTTCTGTATTACGCTGATGTGAAAGACAAGGACACCTTTCCGTTTATTCTTTTGGGAAATAAAATTGACGTTGACGAGAGGGTTGTGACGCAAGAAGAAGCGCATAACTTTTGTCAGGAGATCGGGGGAATTCCCTACTACGAAACAAGCGCAAAAGACTCGACGAATGTGGACAATGCCTTCCATGCAGCCGTCAACAGACTGAACGAATTGGAACAAACCAAAGCAAAAAGTGATTTCTCTGCCACTGAGGGAGTGAATTTATCTAGAGTTACTCAGAGAGAAAGTTCAGGTTGCTGTGAATAGTCTGGTGATGTTTAATTTTTAACATTTATTTCTATTTTACTTAAAATTAAAATCGGATGTTGAATATATGGAGGCATCGAATGGTTGATGAACATTTCCTTATCTCGATTTTCATTTTGACGATACTGATGCATACAAAATGTCCAATTCATGTTCGCATATATTTCCTTCCTTTTCGACCTTTTCAATAGCAGATGTAAGGGTGAACTCGGGGAAAGGCTCTGGGAAATTCATTGAGGTGGTAAAATTTAGCCTTTCATTCCCAAGATCTTAATGAAAATCCTCCTTGCTTCCTGCCATACAGTTCCTATGAAGTTAGTAAGGAGAATTTGGTAGAGGATTTACTAATAATTTTCCTGATCGTATTTTTTTCACTTTGTTCTCGTCACTTGTCTGTTTGATTTTGTATTGATTTTGTTTGGAGAATTTTTTCTCTTGATCACTTATGGGAGTTGAAGGGTTAAGAAGGAAGGTTATGATTAGCTAGCAAACATGCTCTTCAATTAGAAATATTACTGGAGACTTAGAGATGGACAAGAAATGAAAAGTAAGTGATAAAAGCCTTTGTCTCTCACACAACTCTTAGATGAAGGGCCTGGTTACAGGCAGTAGGATGATTGAGATTAGGTTTTGTGAAGGGAAAAAAATATATCACTGGTGCAATCTGAATTTTGTTAAACTTGCTAGATATTAATATAGACTCAGTTGTCAAGGTAAAAAAAAAAGATCATGTTTTAACAATGACAGGAAATTAAAAAGATTCAGTGAGCAAGGAAATCTGGAGTTTGAAAAGAATGTTGAAAAACTCACCCATAAAGATTGGTTGACCTTGAACTGCCTTAGATTTGATTGATAAATTCTCACTTCTAGCTGCTATAGATTTCCTTGTAAATTGGTAAAGAGAAGTATTTTGCATATCAAGATTACATCCTCATTTTATCAGCAAGAACTGTTTGCTTAAAAATGTAGTTCACTGCATATGGATCTCTTCTCAGGGTTTAAGAGAGAATAAAAAATCATGTCAAGTCTGTCTATGAAAGAGACATATTCCTGCATTAAATCAACGTTTTTTTTGTAAAACAACACAAAAATGTCTTGATAAATTCTCACTTCTAGCTGCTATAGATTTCCTTGTAAATTGGTAAAGAGAAGTATTTTGCATATCAAGATTACATCCTCATTTTATCAGCAAGAACTGTTTGCTTAAAAATGTAGTTCACTGCATATGGATCTCTTCTCAGGGTTTAAGAGAGAATAAAAAATCATGTCAAGTCTGTCTATGAAAGAGACATATTCCTGCATTAAATCAACGTTTTTTTTGTAAAACAACACAAAAATGTCTTGAAAGTTAAATGGTATGCATACATTTGCTAAAACTACATTTCCCTGATATGTCTCTGACTTGGTTGTCACAGTGATGCTTTTGTCCCAAAAGACTGAATACATTGAAAACAATATTTTAGTAAGTTATCAATCACACAAAGCAGATGGTTTGTATTTTTTTGTTCCTTCAAGAAATTATCTCAAATATAGGCAAGTTTCAAGTTATCAAGAATATTTTGCACTCAGGTAGTTATTTAATTGTCTGGAAAAGAAAGGTGTCTGCTTTCCCAGGTTATGTCTTTGAAGCAAGCTAATGAATTTAATGATAGTGCTTCAAATAAATTGTAATTATCTGTGTTGTCATGTCATCTCAAAAATCTCATAAAACAGTAATTAGTGATTAATATATTCAAATAAAAGTGGTTTAAATAAAGTAAGTTCTATTTTAGAAATAATGGTAGATGGTAACTGTTACTTCATCATCAGATAGTCTTAGTTACATGTTAAAGTAGAAGTGTAAATCAGATATGTATGTTAATGAGGATGCACGTAGATGACAAGAAAATAAAAGCAACAACAAATTTTGAAATTTCATTGTGTTTGTGTGGGACATGATGCCCTCCTAGCAAGTGCACAGGACTCCTGGATGCGATCTTTGTGTTCAATAGCTGGCTTGTCTTGAACTAAACACTTCACTTTCAGTACCTCTCTCTCTCTCTCTCTCTCTCTCTCTCTCTCTCTCTCTCTCTCAGGAGTATAAAATAATTGGATACCACCAAATTGCCAGGGTAGGGCAATGAAATGCTGAGGGTAACCTTTAGATGGATTGGCATGTTTTGTAAGGGTAGTAGTGGTAGTAGTAATCCTCTGTCACTTCACGCCTTGTAAACCAGGGTAAGCTTCCCTTCAGAGGGCTACTTGGCTGGAGAACAGAAGTTTATTATGTGTCTAATTCCCTTTTAGTGTGCATGGCAGTGAAAGTAATTGTGAGTGAATGTTAAGTTTTTCTCTGTTGTTACAAAAGGTTTGGAGGATTCTGAATATCCAATTTTTGTTGTTTTCTGATTTTCACCTGTTTTTCTGAGGCTCTCTTTTGAATAACTATCAGAAATCATCTTGGTGATTATAAACAGTAATCAATAGATTTACATGCACTTTGTGGACTCTGGAAAAGCCTTTGATTTGGTACACAGAGAAAAAAAGAGAAAGAGAAAGCTTGTGGAACATCATGGGTAGCTATGGAATTCTGCACAAGATGGTGAGAGTGATAGTAGGCATATATGAAGGGTTTGAATGGGCAATGATTGACGGATGCCAGACATCAGACCGGTTCAAGATTAAGTGGGGAGTAAAGAAGCAGGAATGTGTAATGTCAGGATTCTTATTCTTACTGGCCATGGATTGGATCATGAGGAAGACAACAGCAGACAAGAGAAGAGGGATGCAATGGAATTTAACAACAATGTTGGATATCGATTTTGCAGACGACATCACACTACTTCCATTTAAGTTTAATGACTTGGGTGAGAAGAGTGGGAGTTTGATGGAGGAAGCAGCCGGAGTAGGCCTTAAACTAAATGCGAGAAAGTGCAAGTCACTGAGGACCGAGTTTGCTCCAAACAGGGAGAACACTGTGGTGACTGGCGAAGAAGTGGAAGATGTCAGGGAGTTTGTGTATCTTAGAGCTATTGTAGACAAGGAAGGTGGAGGCAGTAAAGATATCAGGAACAGACTGCAGAGGGCACAAGGTGCATTCCAGAGGCTATGGAAGGTGTGGGCAGCCAGAGGAATAGGAAGGGGAACCAAGATACGACTATTCAAGACTTCAGTCCGACCAGTCCTGCTATATGGTTGTGAAACATGGAAGATCACAAAGACTGATGAAAAAAAACTGAACAGTTTCCAATGCCAATACCTATGGTGAATACTGAGGATTAGATGGCAGCATAGAATGACTAACAAGAGAATAGAGTTGATGAAAGGGCAGGGATCAATGAAATTAGCAGCAAGGTGCAAAGAAGGTGGAACTGTTTAAGACACATACTCAGGAGAGGGTGTGAATGACTGTTCTACAGCATTGGGGTGGACACTGGCAGGTCCAAGGGCAAGAGGGAGAAGGACTGTCAGAAGAGAGAGAGGCAAGGCGGGGTGAAGGAGCTGCAATATGGCCAAGGTGGTGGCAGGTGACATGGGGGGCTGGGTGGACAATGCGAGAGCCTTATGCACCTACTGGTGCAACAAGTGATGATGAATCAATAGATCTGGGAAATCTTTATCAGTATTTCAGTGGGCAAGGAGATGGGAACCAGGAGGACTTGTCCAGTTTGCCATGGAATTTCAGTATGATTGAATGAAGTGGGCAGGTGAGCAAATAAAGACTGGTTACTTTCCATGAGAATTTTAGCTTCTTACAAACTGGACCATGTTCTTATTCAAAGACAATCTTGTTTCCAAAGTCCGTTTCCATCATCAGCCATTTGAGAGAGGGTCTCACACACCCCTTTTGCTAGAGATCTGTAACATAGGCTCCAAGAACAAGTTACTGGTTAGCCATTAACTTACATGAGTGACCAAGACTGAATTTCTCCTAACAATATCAAGCTGACAAGAGGTGAGAGTAAAGAAAATTATCAATTAGAGGATTAGTAGTTGATCCAATCCCAAATTCTTTGAGCTAGCATCTTTAAAATTGTATGGCAGGCAATAGTAAGAGTTACTAAATAAATCAGATCTTGGGGTCAAGGGTTCAGATAAATAGGTAGATTTTCAGAATAAATGTTGTTTAATTTGTACATCTTCCAATTAAAAGCACAAGGCTGTGTACACGCAGTAAGACCTTTTATTCAGCAGTTTATTTAATATATTTACATAAGGTGAGGTAAACATGTGAGAAAATAAAATCTATTTTTTTTTATAAAAAAATTTTAGTTATTTATGCTCAATAGGCAAAAACAGTCACCAAGAATGAAAGCACACTTTTACCTGATATACCCTACAGATTATCCCAACAGAAAATAACACTTTTTTTTTTGTTAGCTAGTTCTGAGACCTTGAATAGAATATTACCAAGCTCCATTTTGTTTGAAAACATATCTTAAGTATATTTCAACTTAGTAATTACCTCTGGGAGTTCAAAGGTGACAAGAAAATCTGAAAAGGGGAATAATACAGAGGGTTCTGAAATTCCTTGCACATAGCTAATAAAAATTAAACCTTCACTGAAACTGCAGTGGTAAAGCAACTAAGAAATAATAATGAAAAAATGTAGGAGTCTCTTAGTGGTAGAAATGGTTGTGATTGTAATATGATTTAAAACAAAGAAAGAGCATGACACTGAACAGCACCAAAATCCCAACATGGTATCTAAAGCATACTTTAGCTTCTGCTATACCAAGGAACAATTTGAATTAACATCTCTTTAAATTCAGAAGATGGCAAACTTAACATAAAAATTTCTAACAGTGTCCCTCTTTAACATAAAATAATGGAAGTACTGTAAATTGATCAAAATAATAAGTCAACTCATTGGATTGCCTTTTTCAGTGACACCAACGTAAAAAATAAGGCATAGTGTAAGCTATTAAATGACATGGAATACTCTTGAAAGAGAAATTTGATCTTAACAACATTTTGATAAGTAAAAAGTCATGCTATATCTCCCGAGTGTGATTTACACATTTGCATTGCTCCTAAAACTTCTCCTGTCTCTAAGTGCCACATGGCAACTACAACTCCTTGTAAAGTTATTAGGTAAAAGATGCCTAATGGCAGAGTATAGTGGGTTTGTTGAGCTTAAAAATTGCTATATGTGACAAGAATCACAACAACAAAAATGGTTAACATGGTGTTGCCTACAAGTACCCAACCATCACCTCTCACTATAAATTTTGGGCACACCCTTTTAACATTGTTGAATGCATCTTGTCTCCGGCAGGAGTTAGAAAAACCAGTACATTTGTAGAGCACATTTTTTTAACCTTTGAGAATTTCTTGATCTATATGCATAAAAATTGATTTCTTATGCAGTACTTTTGCTGCAATGAAGAAAGCTTTGAAATTATATTAATATGAGTGATGTTTGCTCAGCCCTGGGTAAATTTGAAAGCAACACTATACCTCTTCAAGGAGAAGCAAGTTTGCTTTATTGAAAATGCAATAAAAACTACCAAAAGAAACACTTGCCTGCATTCTTGGTTTTGCAGGCAAGTGTTTCTTCTTGAAGAGCTTGGAAAATGTTGTCTCCTGTTTCCAAATTTATTTGCTTTGAAGAGTGTTCTGCTTTTGGTGAGCAGATGACAGCTGGCCTGACCTTGGAAATAGAATCACTATTCCATTTTCCAACATAACATAGATGAGGCCTAATTGAGACTCTTGCCGAGAAAAACATGACTTGTCACAAGGGACTGAGACATGTCACAGCAGCAAAAGATGTATATGCCAATATAGTAGTGACTTACAATTGAAAAACAGATTATAACAAGTGAAAATCTAAAGAGTTTACTTTAAATGACAATTAGAGCAATGTATTGACCAGAACATGAAATTAAAAAAAATATTTACTAAAAAAAACCATTGTTTCTTAGCTTATGAGTGATCATTGATCATAATAAATTATGGTAAAAAAGGAAGAAAATATCTTCCATTACTAACACAACTATTACTCATGTCTTTGATGACTTCTCTCATTTGACCTATTTAAATTAACTAGTTGAGCACTTTTTGATCCAGTGTCCCAAAAGCCAAAGCTACAAAATTGCAATGACTGATGGGGACAAATAAGAAAATCATAAGTGGCCAATGAGAACTTGAAGCAGACTACCAGGCCTTCATTGTTGGAAAGGTGGATAACCTTATCCACTGGATATATCTGTACCTGGTGTATTGTGCGGTGTGTTTTGTCAACACATATTCAATCACTGGAAAGAAATTTATCTGTTGAATAACGTTATCTGCCCTTTGAACAACTGAGCCAGAAATACAGGAAAACTTAGGCAATCAAGGGGCTATTATTTATAATTTTGAATTAGGATTTTTAAAAGAGTAACAAGAGTTTTTAGGCTGGTCACAAAGTAAAGTGAGGCAGACCTAATACAATCCAAGATGACTTTTGACATTATATTGAAAATTGCTCATAAAAGTGTTTTGAGTTTTTTTCTTAAATCACAAATATAATTACATGCATGTACACACTGATTATCTAAATTATGGTCGAGTTACACTCTAAAAAATTTTAATGGCAAGTCTATTGAAGTGAACATATGGAGTAGATCACCTCTTCAGCATCTAAACAGTAAAACTAAAAGTCAAACAATTGTACAACAACAGCTTTGTTCACTTGTTTTCTCACGATTTCTTTGACCTGTTGAAGAGATAAAAGTTGTGTCAAAGTCTAGTAAAGGAAATGAAACAATAAAAGTATTGGCATATAAATCATTCTCCAAAAGCTTACAAAAGAGAGGAAACCTGGAGGAAGGGAAAAGAGAGACACCAGGTGGACATGGGGGCATCTTGTCCAAATGGCATCTGACAGATATCAATGGTGTTCTCTAGACAAAGATGCACCCAGAGGAGTAACTAAAAAACTAACTATAAACTACTGCTACCCCACCTATGCATCAATTGAAACTCTATTGATATGTTTGCCTGTGTAAATACATGAAAAAACTCCTGTGCTTATAGTGAGTGACCACTCTGTTATTTCCAAGAGTGACTGAAAATATTAATTTTTTGACAAAAAGGTCATGCACACACACCCACAAAAATTACTAGATGTTATTTGATTTAAAAACCAAACTCTTAGAGTGAAAATAGTAGGAAATGTTTGGAAAACATCGGGGATGATTAATTGTTAGATCTTGGGAGTGAAAGTGTAAAGGAAAGTAAGATATTTATTTAGTCTAATTTTTTCAGTTCATCATTGAAAAGCATGTTCCTCTTCTTCCACTTTCACCATTCTTATTTTTGACCAACTGTTACCTCTTTGAACTTATTTTTAATACTAATCAACTGCTATTTGAATATTTCCTATTAAAAGCAATTTTCTTCTTTAAAACATGATTCCACTCTTCTTATCTTTGACTCAGGGTTGTCATTTGAAAATGTAACACATGTATGATCTGAACTGAGGTGGGTGGCTGAATTGAATTATGCTCGCGTTAACAAGCATGACATGTTGCAGAGAGAGACCAAGGGCATGCTCCCCTTGAAAAATTTGAAATTGAAACACTTCAGATGTGATTTCCCGCATTCTGGGACATATTTGAGTAAATTTTTTAGCCAGACATTCATGTTAGAATCAGTTCAAAACTAAATTTTTTCCTGTCTTTGATCACAATTCACAAAGTAGACAGCACAAAATGGTATGAGGGCTGGCTGGTTTCCACCGCCTACTGGCCTTCTAATGATAACGCTGTTTGACTTAAATTTATGTTTGTTCCATTGCCCACATGTTGTACTATAGACTCCAGGTATCCTTTTGACAGAAAGACTGCACAACATTAATATTCTGGTAGAATGACTTTGGAGTTCTGTTAATAAATTTTGTCTTCAACACAAAGGACTCTGAAAATGTTTTCTTTCCCCCAAACTTCTCGTGACTGATGTTACTTAAATTACCACTTCATTGAGGATGGAGTTACCTTGTGTGGCAGGTTCAGGTAAGTTTTCTCTTGCAACAAGGTGCATCACGCTGCGCTTTCCGGGCTCAAGGCTAAGTGCTGTCATGAAATAAAATCAGTGGGAGAAATGTGTATGGCCCAATTACTTTGAATTCAATTTTTTGTGAGCTTCGTCAACTCATATTTTTAATCCACTTAACAAATCTCAAACCATAACACTGAGATACTTTTGTGCAGAAAGTTACATAACTTCTCATCTTTTTACATAAAATAAATGATGGAAATCTCTGCAAGTGGCCATCAATTTAAAACAAAGATATCCTATGGTTTGTTTTGTCGTTTCATGCTTCATTTTGGAGAAAAATAACTTTTAAATGAAAAAGTGGTTGGTACCAACAATGATTCTAAAGCAGTGATGCAAAACAAAGTTTCAATGAATAGAGAGATGTTTTTGACGCATATTTTAAATGTCCTTTTGTTTGGTTTAACTTTTGTTCTGCTTTACTGAATTTATCATTGATAAAAAAACCCTCATAAATTAATCAATTTTCCTCCAAATAAGGTACAAAATAGGTACAAAGTCATAGTTTTCTTATCACTAAAGTGGCCATATGCAACAATCTACCTAAGTAGGTACTCTAAAGAGGGGAATGAGTTGCACAAACTTTGTATTTAGCATAGCTTCAATCCATGCTCTTCAACTCTTATGTAATATAGATAGCAACATCTCTTTTCCTTACTTCTTCAGATTATTTCCTATCTGCAGTACTGTAACCATTGAAAGAGTCCAAAAACCTACCTCCTAAAGACACATTTCCGTGTAAAAACCGTCCATGATAAATAAGTTTAAGAATATTATGGGAACTGACCGCTTCGTCTTTCCAACCTTACAAAATCAAAGAAATTATGAACATCGGTTCTTCTCTCTACTTGATATACAAACTCTGATCATTTTTCTTAATATTCATGGTGTTCTTTTTTCATGTTGTACCTTAAATCAGTCATATAAGGTACATTGGATTTCACTAATATTTTCTGTACACAAACTTAATACATATTAAGAACAAATACTGGTATGGGAACAGTCTGAATTTTCAACTAATAGAAAAATTGAAATCAGACAAGCACAAGTAAATTATTAGAATTCTAATATATCTATCAAGCAGTCATCACTATAAATATTATTTGTTGTAGTTTCTACTTGAATCTAAACTTGTTGCATGACTCGAAAAGTTTACAAACATGTAAATAAATAGTTTGTGCAAAAAGATGCCTCTAAACAACCTAGTGCTCTTTTTCAGTTGGGGTTTCTGCATCCTGATAGAGAAAAGGCTCTGACAATTAAAAAAAAAGCCTCACTGGTAGCAAAAATTTAAAGAAGCTATGGCTGGAGGCTTTTTCCTTTGACAGAATTCAAATGAAGTATTAGGACCTACAAACAACAACAAACCTTCAGGCCAGTTTTCATAGACGTGTTGTGTTATGTAATATGCTGTATCACTGGGTGAAAATAAAAATTCATGTGTCTTGCCAGATACCAGGATCAACCGCAAACATATCTGATGGAAAAGTAAAACAGAAAAGAAGTTGCTTAGAATAAGAAGACTATTGAATCAGGAGGGTTTTCTGTGTCTTAAATCTAAAAATATGACAAGAATCACAAAATCTGTGAGCAGAGTTTGAGAAGTATGTTTGCCCTTCAGGATTCAAAAATCCAAGTTGGATTAGTTTAAAATCGATTTGTTCTTTAAACCATAAAATGATAGTGCAAATATGGGTGATCCGTGTTAAGGTAAAGATGGTGCAGGTTACCTCCTAACATTTCCCAACATTTTCCCAAACTTTCCCTCACAGTTTGATGGTATGAGTTTATACTCCTAGGTGGAGAGAAGCACTAGGAGAGTAAAGTTTTACCCAAGAACAAAATGCAATGACCAAGCCAGGTCTCAAACCCAGAATTCTTGACCAGGGTCCAGTGCACTTGTGTTAACCCTTTAAACCCCAAGAGTGACTAACATCTAATTTCTCTTTACAATATCACCACTGAATCACCTATAAATGTCATGAGAATAAAGGAAATGATCACCAATTAAAGAAACTTGTGATTGTCAGACAAATTCTCCATGTCAGCACCTTCTAAATGTACAGAGAACAGTGTGGAGAATATGAATACCCATGTTAGGGTGTAAAGGGTTAAGTGCCCTGTGCTATTTTGGTATAATTCTAAAGGCGCGATTGTAAATTTTCCTGCAAATTCACATCTATTACAACGGACAAAATATTACTCAAATCTTGATCACATTTTCACATCTAACAATTCACTGAATGTACATTAATTGAGAAAGATTCTAATAAAATCAAGCAGAAGATGCAGTTCACAACAATTGCACATCTGCATAGCAATGGAGCCCATAACAGCAACTTTCTGTCAGTTTTTTAAGTGTGAGTGTGACAAAAACAATTGCAAGAGTGGACTCGCATAGTGTTGAGTGTTGGCACATTATTGTTAGCTTATGCACCAGTTAATTTTTCGAAACCTGTTGAAGACACCAGTGTCTAAAGCCCTCTCTGCTGTCATGATCAAAGAGGATATCACATTGCAGATTACAAGGTTTTATTTGATCCACCTGTCAACAAGATTGTCCTTTGGAAGACTACTGCAGAACAGTAAATGTATCATGTTTGCATTTTTTCTGCAAAAACTGTTCCAGAAACACAACTTTCCAAGGACATAACTTTGAGCCGTTTGGTTTTCTGCATTTATAATTTCATATACATATTTCTTTTAAAATGATCTTTAAACTGAGAAAAAATAATGGCTATCCAAATGTGCAATTCAGCCTAAATGAATATAAGTACCTGAAAAGAGTTTCCCTGCAATCTCTATATATAAAATGTAATGCACTGAGTAAACTCTGCCTCGCTAAAAGTGGTTCTTCCAAGGATTTTTCATATCTTATCAATTTATTTGTCTCCAGAGAAGCACTTGAGACTTGACTGGAAGCATACCAGCAATGCCAAGATCTGGAGCTCCATTCAAGAATATGTTTTCACAAATTTGGCATATCTTAAACTGCAAAAGTTGAATCTCAGTTTGCTCTAAAAGCCCTCTTGAGCTTGTGGTTTATTAAATTCTGAGAATAAAAGACTCTATCCATAATCAAAATTCAAATAAAAGTCACATCTTATTGTGTAACATATTTAACTGCCACAGATGTATTCCCTCATGAAACCTGATCACAGACATAACACAGATCCAATTTTGTCACAACCAGTCTTTCTACAGTAGTGCATCTGACAGCTCAGTATTACCAAGAGCACAGAGAGACACAGTTTTCTTTGTTCTTTTTCTTCATCAGAGAAACAGTCATGTCAATAAAACAAAATGTTAAAGAACAGAAAAAATTGGGTGCAAAGGTCATTGAGGGAAAAACAAAAGTATTTTAAAAAATTTGCCTACACCATGCAGAGACCTGTATTTCTAGACTATTTGGCAAGTTTAAACAAAGTCAGAAGAGGATAATCTTCATTATGAGGAAACCTAACTGCCTTAACATCAAAAAAAAAACTGCTCATTCAAGAAAATTTTTATTATTAAGAATGAACAAATTTGAAAATCACTTGGTGCTGTAATACGTGATCATGGATTCAATAAAATAGGGCTCATTAGCTACCCAATGCATTCAACATTACCAAAACAATACACAAATTTAACTACAAAAAATAATTGCTTAGGGGGTAAATGAATTAATTTAAAATTCAGATGGTCTTTATAATTTTAAAAAATCAGACTTGTTAGGTGAATTTGCTTCTAAATTTGTGACATGGAAATATAAAAAACCTACTAAGAAACGGAAGCAAGAAAAATTATAGAAGATATACTCGTTGGTTTTGATAAAAATTAGAAACCATCACAAAACAGCGAGCATTTGAAGTATAACCTACTTTACTGCTTATAATTTTGTTTGTAAACAATATATAAAAGATCTAGAATTTAGCTCCCAATCATAGAATACTTCCTTTTTAAGGCTTCAACACGAGCATCACAAGGATAAACTTATCGAATACTAATGGCAAACATTACATAAGTTTTCAATCCAATTGAAGACTTCTCGACCTTCATGCCTAAAATTATGCAGTCGTTGATGCTATATTTCATTGTCATTAGAACAGAAATGGTGTATATTCAAATTTAATAAAAAGGGCGACATCTAGCTACTACATGTCGTGTAATTTTGATCTGAGAGCTGTCAAAAATATAAAAACACGCACCACAAAATACTAATAGTCAAACTCTGTTTTGACATTTGTCTCTGTCTTTTATTTCGACGGAAGAATTGGCGCGCACTTAACAGGGTCGCTAAGATTTTCCTGTCTCGAACATGATCATGAACACGTACGAAAAATTCCAGTTTCTTTAACATATAGTTATTATTTGTCCTTGTGAACGTAGTCGAACAAATGAAGCAATTTGCCACGAATCATAAGCTCATCTATATGACTGAACAATTTGACAAACACCAGGGACTGCGTCCCATAAAATTGCTTTAAAGAACTCCCCTAAACAAATTAAGATTGAAGGTCACCAACTAACCGATTTTTCTTTGTCAGTGAATTGTTAAAGAGACAATCTTTGCGTAGTGACAACTCCTATAGAATCTCAAAATACTTTTGTATCAAAAATTGCCAACATTTTCATTATACTGAAGTCATCGTTTACACGTGTGTGTATTATGTGTGGGAGATGAAAACTGTATCGCTTACTTGGAGACAAACCTTTGCAATAAAGGTCTCATTTTGTGGTCGAGACAGTCTCGATAAAAGTCGTTCCTAACCCAGGATTTCAATAAATAATTCTATTGATCGATCTTCTTGAAGTAAACACTCGGGGTTTATTGTTCCTGCGCTAATGATCCTTCAGCAAGATTACAGTTCAGGAAAGTTGCTAGATTTACCCATATAAGCCAAATATGATCTTTTCAACTAAAAAAATGGACGAATAATTACATCTAAGTAAGTTAAACCACGATCAGGGACGAAAAATTCGAAAAACACTTACTTTATCATCCGGTATTGCTCTATGTCGTGCAGTAACACTGTCACCCATCCTGGGCAACGAGTGGCGGTATTATTCACCAAAGCTGAACCTGAATGGGGCGAAAATCCCAAGGAACTGATCTCTGTGACTTTCCCAAGAAAAGGAAAACAAAATAGGGACTTTCGTTGTGATTTACATCGCTTACAGACTCGACAACTCACTATTCTGTTAGTGGGCACTAAAGCACGAAAAAAAAATATACTCGTGCGGAAAGGGAGTCTGGGAAATACTGTTGACGTCAGAAGTGTGAAGCGATTCGACAGGGGTCAGTTGATCGAGATTATTCTAAGTAATTATTCTTGTTTGTTTACAACTCTGTATGAAGATATTTCCACTGTTTAGATATTTCCAAATATAAAATTCTTTTTAAAGACTATATTATCGTAAGAAAAGGCCTATTTTGGGTAGCTGAGGCCCTTTAATCTCTCCTGACAAAAGGTACTCAGTGCCAGTCAACAGGCGGGTTTCAGCTTATGTCACATGATGCATAACGTCGGCTTCCAAATACTGCCTTGTCATCTTTGCTTTAGAGCAGCACATGTGTTATAAGAAAAAGACAAAAGAATGGAACAGCTGAAAAAGGTTTTGCGCTTTATTTAGACAAATTATCGACGAAGTTTAAGGAATGAGGTCTTTTGTTTTGTCTTTTCCCAAGATTACGTAAGCGGCTCCGAAAAGTCTAATGAATGGGCAAATGTTTCAGTGAATGCTTTTTTTTTAAACTGAATTTTGAGCCACAATAATAATGTACTGTCTATAGGGAAATCTTGAACTCTTGGAAGAATATCGTGCTCTTAAGAGAAATAAAGAAAGAAAATAGAAGTTTAAAGAAACCTTCCCTATCTTTCAACGGAAAACCTATGTTTTATCTAAATGGAAACTTTAATGGTCGTACTTTGATCTTTTAAAGTTCAAACTTTGTCTAATTATAAAACTGTTTTAAGTGTGGAGACAAGCTTCGAAACAAACCATTGGTTTTCATACTTTCAGCCGGCATGGTAGTATCGTAAGCAAAAACAAAAAGAACGAAATGAAAAATGAGTGAAAGCAATGAAATTAAAAGTGATATATTTTCGTGGCCATTTTATAAGACTTCCCGTTGTTAAAGCAAGACTTGATATCTGTTAATGACATAAGTCGTAACTGAGACTGAAACCAACCTTCAGATTCCTTGTAAATCAAAAAAAATTTTCTTTCTATTATCGGTTGTAGAATTATTACTTTTCGGTGGAGTAAACAAAAAAATATTGGGAATGTCGTTCAAAAACAGAAAAGTATTACTCGTGCTATGTCTGCTCACACGTAACTTTTCTCTGCGAATTCGGGTTCAGCGATGTTCTTGAGCTATTCAGAAATTCTTTAATAGGCAAATTTTCAATAATCTCGATGGATCCTTATAGTTATATCGAAGTAATAGCCCAGGCGGAAAATTGAGAGAGATTGGAATTAGATCAAACCCTTAAAATGGCGAAACCTATGCGTAGATGCTTTAGGGTACGTACGACCCCCTTTATCTGAAAAAAAAAGAAAAAAAAAATGATGATAAAGCCGACAATAAGTTACGATAAAACAGTCTGGCATGGCCATGATCAGTCTGAAAGAAGTTATCTAAGACTCTTTTTCTCGCCTCGCTGAAAAATCCTGCTTGCTTTCCTTGATCAAAAAGCTGCAACATCGCACTCAGATTAGACAAGGTTATGATCCTAGTATTTCCTTATTCCTAGTTTGTCCCTACCTGCGCCAATACACGGCCATCCAGTACGGAAATTTCTTTACTGTTCTTGCGTTCGCCAAAGTATTGTCAACGGATATTCCTCTTCACTTTCCAGGATAGGAAGACTAAAATGACTGAGAACTATGAATAGAGAAGGAAAACTGATGGGAGAAAAAAAATTGAGAATATTTTAACCTCCGTGAGGTGTAGAAGCTATCACACAAACTGCACTGTTGTCATGCAAATTTAAGCTGCCCTAAAATTGTTAACTATGGAGTTAGAAAGTGACAAAGGCTGATATTAGCAACGAAAACGTGCTTCGAACTCGACGAAAGTAGAAGTCGTTCATACTGCGTCACTTCGTCCCGCTGCCACAATGACGTCATCTGGGCCTTTTCCAGATTTTTGCTTATCAGATGTCATATCATTATTTTTACTTCGTTTTTTCCTCTTGCATTTTCGGGCTTTTTTTAACTTAAGGGTGTGAAATTCCAAACCTTTGCGCAATGAGATGCAGTATGGAATGCTAGATGACCTTGTGAGGAGAGTGGATGGGGAGAGCTGCTTTTTTCGGAATTTTTCTGTTGAAGGCTTTTGTACTCACCTAAGCGTTTAGTGTTTGTTTGCATTCATGTTAGAGTCTTCTTACATTTTAAAGATCAATTATCATTAAAAAATTTATGTAAAATTCATCTAAGAATCGTGAGAGAAATTGCAAACATTTCAGAGAAAACCATGTACCTCGTCTTAAAGCAAAAATGAACACCCGTGCCCAAGCTGTTATGGTACTTTCACAACCACAGATACCATTAGTGAAAATTTGCGAAATTCGTACATTTCTTCGTTGAAATACTCACTTCCACCTTGCAAAGCAACCAAAGTGATAGTCTTTTGACTTCTGGATCGAAACGGATCAATAGTGCGTTATATTTGGAATTTTGTTAAGATAGGGTGGGGTGGGGGGGAACACGCAGGGGTGCATAAAATATTTTTTGTTCTGGGATGCTCTACCCCGTCTGGCTACACTCGCTTCTAAATCCACTCAGATACCCAAATTCATAATCTTGACACTGTTTTCTTAAAATCAATTCGTAAAAATCTCTTAAAAGGATCACTCTTCCGGGGTAACTATCCCTCGAGGTATGCCATAGTCCCGTGATTGCTGAACAGTGGTCAGCAAAACACCTTATTCCGATTGTGCGCATTCCACAGGTCCCGGAAGCTTAAGTCTTATATCAAAAACATAGTCTCGTTTGTAAATTAAGTCTAGGCTTTGAACGATCTTAAGGTGGTAATGTGCATACTTAAAGTCCTACTGATGAATCATTTATTAGTCTTTGATCTATAGCCACATGGATCCTTGCAAGAGTGTGAGCGTTTGATTTCTTATGGCTACCGCAAAGGAAGACTTTGACGCGGTCAGAGAATGGTTGTTGGCCGAAGTCAAACTCGATAGGTATGCTGAGAAACTTGAGTCAAACGGCTTTACATCACTGGAGACCTGTTGCTCAATAAATGAAGATGCCCTTGATAAGATGGGAATCGTCATGCCATATCATCGAAAAAGATTTCTTATGTTTACGGAGAAACTCAGGGAAAAACTTGGTATGGATTTCACGAACGAGGAAGATGGCAGTGTCAGCCCGAACACGGACGTAACAACAGACAGGTCTGAAACTGGAACTGAGCAGCAGGACTCGCTCATAAATTTTGTTAGCGAAGACGAAAGTGTAAGTGCTTGTAATGATCAGCTTCCGAAGGAAGACAGTTGTGAAATTACCACAGGTGAAGGCCTTGATACTAAAGTTCCTGACGTTCCTTTACTTCCACCGAAGAAAAAATCCAGCTCTTTGAAAGCACCTCCTCCTATTCCGCCAAGAGCAGATTTAGAAGAAAGAGAGATACCCTCTAAAGAGACTTCAAAAGTTTCAGATACTCCTCTACAAGATGCTAAGCATGTGGAAGTGGATCAACTCCAAGTTCAATCAAAACAACCTGATGTTCCAGCAAAAAGGGCCCCCTTAAAACCTCCCAGGAGAGTGATTAGGACCCCACAGGGTAGTGTACAGAATGGTATGCAAGAACAAGATATGATTTCTTGTAATTCTAATGCTGATAGTGTTGCAAATATTAGTTCCTCTGATGAGAAAGAACCTCAGGTGCAAATGAATTCAACTTCAAGCTGTCCTGTATTGCCTAACACAGACAATGGAAGTGATGAAGCAAGCTCCACTCTGCAGAGTAATGAAGAAACAGCTGTAGCAACAACTGAGCCAAGGGTAGTGCCAAAAGCACCCGAGAGGCTATCAGCAAAAAGACCAACACCTGCACCACGACCACGAAAAAGAAGACAATCAGAAGACAATGTATTAGTGTCAGATCTAGTTACAGATGGTGAATCAGAAGGAGGCAGCAAGAATGTGTGTTCGGCAGTGTTAAATGATGCTTCGGAAAAGAGAACACAATCATTATCTCTATCTGGAAGAGGAAGTGATCTTGCAAATTCCTCTGTGGGAAAACCATCAACGCTACCAAGAGCTGCATCAGCTAAACAAAGGCCTGCCCCTCCACTCCCTCCCACACGTCAAACAGGTTCACTGAAAGATCTCCCTAAAAGGCAGATATGTGATCTACCACTACCACCTGTTCCTGTCCCAGGAAGTACAAACCATCGGCAAAATAAATTGATCAGTGCTCCTCACCAAGGTTAGCTTGCTTCTTTGGTAATTTTTTGAGAACTGAACTCAACTGAGCTATCACACACATGGATCTTTGTATGAAGCAGATCCCTTCTTCTTTTAAGTTCTTTACCTATCTTAAGAAATGTGTTGCTTCATAATTTGGTGTTTTAGCTAGAGAACTCTCCTTAGTTGAAATGTTTTTCCATTGTCATCGCTCATTTTGTAGGATAACAACAACAGCAGATTCTATTTTCTATTTGGTCTATATTATATACCTCAGCCACAGACAAGTCATGTCTGTTAATGTAATTAGTTTGTTACATCCCTTTACACCCTAACATCAGCATACATCATCTCCACACTGTTCTCTATACATTTCCTATAGTGCTGACAAAGAGAATTTGTTTAACAATCAAGAGCTTCCTTAGTTGGTGATCATTTCCTTTATTCTCATGACCTTAATGTTTGTTTTAGGAGTGATACTGACAGGAGAAATTAGATACTAATCACTCTTAGGGATTAAAGGGTTAATTTCAGTATCCATATTCTCCATACTCTTTTTGAAACATTTCCTTTGGTACTGACAAGGAGAATTGAATTAACAATCAAAACTTCTTAGGTTGGTGATCATTTATTTTGTTCTCGTGATCTCAAAGAATGATTCAGCAGGAGAAATTAGATGCTGGTGACATTTCCAAGGGTTAAGAGAGAAATCAGATGAAGAGAAATTATTGTTTTCAGGTTTCACAGAATATTGCATATAATTTAACCCTTTAACTCCCTTGAGTGACCAAGACAGAATTTCTCTCTACATTATTAATACAATATCAACCATGTAAGTGATGAGAATAAAGAAAACTATCAATTTGGGGATAATTAGTTGATCCAATACTGAATCCTCTGAACTAACATTATAAGAATTGTATGGTTGACAGTAAGGAGAATTACAAATTTGGTCTGGGAGTTAAAGGGTTAATTATATTATAGGAAGTTAGTAGGTATAGCTGATTTTAATCTTACTTAGGGTTTGGGTTAGGGTTGGATAAAATTTTTATCCATGAAGAGTCACCTGTTTTTTGGAAAGAGTTAGGATAATCTTTAAATTTATTGCTTTGATACATTTAAACAGGAGCATCAGAGCCAGTGAAAGCTCAATCAGAGTCAACAGATGAATATTCACTGGTTCAACCATTACCACGGAAGACATCACAAGTGAAGTCTCAACCAGAGTCAACAGATGAATATTCACTGGTTCAACCATTACCACGGAAGACATCACAAGTGAAATCTCAATCAGAGTCAACAGATGAATATTCACTGGTTCAACCATTACCACGGAAGACATCACAAGTGAAATCTCAACCAGAGTCAACAGATGAATATTCACTGGTTCAACCATTACCACAGAAGACATCAACAGTGAAATCTCAACCAGAGTCAACATATGAATATACAGAGGTTCAACTGTTACCACAGAAGACATCAACAGTGAAATCTCAACCAGAGTCAACATATGAATATTCAATGGTTCAACCATCACCACAGAAGACATCACAAGTGGAGTCTTCACTATATGAAGAAGTTTGGAAAGGAGATCCAAGAGAGTATCAGAGAAATAATGATACAGCTGAAATTGAATATGAAAGTGATGATTCTCTGGATCCATGGTGTGCAGATTTGCCAGAAATGAAAAAGGCAAGTCAAAACATGAAATCTCTCTTACATTGGGGCTGTGCTTTATTGTAGCCTGGGACTAACCTTTGTCTTAAGCTGACTTTTAAAAAAGATTTTTAGGGCTGTGTTTTTTCACAGATTTTTTCAGGGCCTCCAGGCACCAAGAAGGTACTTTAGAGCACAGAATTTATTTTCAATTTGATCCCTTTTACTTTAACCCTTAACTACCAAGATCTCATTAGCAATTCTCCTTACTGTCTCCCAAACAATTCTCATCATGTTAGTTTGGAGAATTTGGTATTGGATCAATTAGTTTTCCTATAATTGATATTTTTCTTTATTCTCATCACTTGTCTGCATAGTATTGTAAAGATATAGTAAGGAGAAATTCTGTCTTGGTCACTCACAGGAGTTAAAGGGTTAAGTAGAACAGACTATGAACTCCTCTCATTATAATAGTTGGGGTGTCTATTCTTAGTCAGAAGTCGATAGCTTCGTTAACCTGTTCATAGTTAAAGTGTGCATTTCCTGTGACTCTTTTCACCCTAATATCAGTGTGCATGTTCTCCATTTCCTATCATACTGACAATGATAATTTGTTCAACAATCAAGAGCTTTTTTGTTCAGCGATCATTTCCTTAATTCTCATGACCTTAATGTTTGATTTAGGAGACTTTCTGTAAGGAGAAATTAGATGCTAGTCACTCTTAGAGGTCAAAGGGTTAAAGGTGCACCATAAGTGAACTGACCAACCTGGCTGGGCAGTCTAACTTGTGGTTTGTGACAGTAAATGACTCTGAACTACATGACAGTAAATGACTCTGAACTACACAACAATAAATGACTCTGAACTACACAACAATAAATGACTCTGAACTACACGACAATAAATGACTCTGAACTACATGACAGTAAATGACTCTGAACTACATGACAGTAAATGACTCCGAACTACATGACAGTAAATGACTCTCAACTACATCTATGTTTTGTTCTTAAACTGAAGGCTTTGATGCCATTCTTATTGAAGTCTCCAACTAGTATTACTTCTCAATATTTTAGAGAGGTGACAGCACAGAGAATGTGGACTACAGTAAGGCAATACCAAACAGCCTAAGCCCAAGGGTAAGTGTCCTGGTCTAGAAGAGACATTTTTCATTCATTTGTAGTTCTTGATTTTCATCATATGTATTTGGTAAAACAATGGACCACTATACTCACAGACTTTCATCTGATTTGATGATGGGGTACTTTTTTTTACAGTAAAGCTGAAATGGAAGTTTAACCATTCAACTTTGAAGATTTGATTGTTACTTCTCCCCTTCAGCTGCTACACATTTCCTTTTGAATAAGTGATGAGAATTTGGTGTCACAGATCATGATGACATCTTCTGACTGATAATAAATAATGGATATTATAGGGAAAAGTTAATGCATGGTAATCACTTCTGGGATTTTAAGGGATATTTACAGTCAAGGGTGAAATTTTTGAGAAGCTAAGGGATTTTGGTAAAACTCAACATCTCATCAGTAAACATTCCTTGTTCTTGCTTCTTGTAGGTTCGTAAAAGTGAAGGATACCTTTGGAAGCAAGGAGGGTAATTACAGAAAGTATTGCTGAGTATTTTTATGAGATATGCTGTATTTTGATGAGCCTGTAGGGCAAGTTGCAATACAAACTACTCATAAAAATACTCAGCGATACAATACACCCGAACATCTAATATGATATATTATTTTATTGTACATTAGAATTACTATGGAAACTCTGATGGTCAAAAGCATACAGTCAATAAACAGTGGCAGGTGAAGTTGACATGATAACCCAATATCTGCAGCAGATATTGGGTTATCATGTCAAATTCAAAGTCTGCCAAGTTTCCAAGCCCCTTATCTGTGTAGCGTTCGCAAACTTTTGCATACTCATAGAGAAGCATCTTCTTTTGCAGATTGTCTGAAAGATATTTAATAAAACAATTATTGAATGTAATCAAGCCTTGTGTTTGTGCTTTGGCAGGTAACTCAGACCTGCACTTTGATAATTCATGATGTCATGCTCAGCCTCATCCAATAATTGCTTATTAATAACTAGATATGAAAGTTGCAAAATCAGATACACAACAAAAATTTACCACAGAAGTTACTTGTAAAGTCATGCAGAGTTCAGTACTCTCAATGAGAATTTCTCTTCTATTTTAGGCAAAAGAACAATAAGGGATGGAGAAAACGGTGGTTTGTTTTTGATGGCAAGGACCTAAGATACTACAAGGATAAGGTAAGTTTTGTTCACCAAAAAAATTGTCCTAAAAGATGAGGCTGTTTCGTTTTGAAAGTTTCTGTAGCATGAAGCGACTTACAAGTATTATTTGCCCCCCCCTCCTAGATAGGATCCTACTCCATTACAGATTACCCCATTCATTTGGTAATTCTCAAAGTTTCCCTATCAGTTTTCTGGCAACCATCTAGCCAGTCATATTGCTTTATTTGTTATAAAATGCTGGTAGACTTCTACCAATTCTCTCTTGCTAGCATTTATTTATGAAATGACTTGCAAGTGTCCTGTTATGCCAATTAGGTTTTTTTTGGTGGAACTACCCAGACTAACTTTATTTGTGAAATGACTAGCAAGTATCCTGTTTTGCCAACTAGGTATTTTTTTGGTGGAACTACTTGTAAATGACTTGCAAGTGTCCTGTTTTGCGAACTAGGTGATTTTTTGTTGGAACTACTTGGAATAACTTCAGTGTTTGTTACATTTCAGGATTCCCTGACTGAATCTCTTCATATAATTCCTGTAAACCAGATAAAGGACATTGAAAATGTGAAAGATGTAAGTATTTTGCCATACAACTGTTGTTACAAGCCAGTGTTACTAACACAAAACTGACCAATCTGATTACTGGAAACAAGCAATGACTTTTTTTGAATTCTTCAACATCTCTGCTTACTGTGGTCTGTGGTGATGATTGGCACAATTTGGATTAAGTTGAAATCATTTGTTTCTGATATTATGACTAGTCAATTTCATTCACCATTAGAAGTGAACATACTGTAATCACAAAGGTGACATTGCAATTGGTTGAATAGCTCTTGGTTCTGAAAGTTTAACAAGCACAATGACTATGACAGAAACACATGTTTCTTTTGTTTTCTCACTTTGTGGCCATGAAGTAGCTGTGCTGAGCCTAAATATTCAAATGCATTCTATTTGTAACAAATACACTGTTTTTAGTAAAAACAATCACTCATTCTAACTTTCATATTTTTAGGAAAAACGTTCAACATTCAAAGTGATAACTCCAAACAGGACTTTCATTTTTGCATCAGAAAACATCAGTAAGTTACTTCTGTAGTTCCTTTTTTTCACCTCAATTGCTTATAATAATTAAATGATCTTAGAAAAAAATAAATTTTCACTTAAATATTGATTTTTTTTAATTAAACTTTTTGATACCATGTATAAACTACTTTAAGTGGGTGATTATTGGTATTCATTCTTGTAATGTTTTTGCTTTTTTCTCTAGCGGAAATGAATCTCTGGTCTCAAACTCTTATGGAGGCAATCATTGGCTGCAAGGTGAGGGTGAACTAAGAGTGGAAAATTAAATTGATGCTGATAAACAGCTGAAAATGTAAGACAGATTCCTTCTTGATTTTCAAAAGGATGAAAATTACAGAGGTAAGTACTGAGTCTGAGTCTGAAATTCCTGGAGGAGAAAGGAAATAGGAGATTAACAAGAGCAGTAAAGAACTGCTGATTAATTCCAGAAAAGAAAAACCGGAAAGAAGGCTGGAGCTAATTGTTTACCTTAAGTAAAGATAATTCAGGTCAATATCAGTATCTGGGCAACTGCTCACCTACCCCTCCCCTAACCCAACATTAACCCTAACTTGTTATCAATTGACTGTTGTTGAGTTTGGGGAGGGGTAGGTGGGCAGTTGCCCAGATACTGATATTGATCCGATAATTCTCTTATGATGTCATGGCAGCCATATTGGTCACCAATAAACAATGAAGTGGTGGAAAATAACTTTCTGCGGCTGCTTGCTACAAAAGTGAAAATGTTACGTAAAGATTACTATATCACAGGAAGTACAGGATTAATTTTTCGTGGTTTTATTTCTTCTCTTATGTTTTGCAGGGAGATGGCAAGAATTGGAGGAGTGGTGGAGAAATGAGTGACCCAGACAAGGAGGTAGAAAAGATGAGCTTTTGGTCTCCTTGATCTGCAGTAAAAGCTCTATCTGAAAAAAAAAAAAATTGGTTCAAAATATTTATTTTATCAAAAGAAAGAAAGCTTTCACAGGCAACTGATGGGTTTATTCACATTGTCTCTCTGTAAATCACTCAAATTAGCCATCTGCAAAAAGGCTCCCATCTGTGAAACATGGTAGCACTCAATGTATGCTTAGTTAACTGAAAATAGAAAATAAGGAAAATCACAGTACATTACGTAGCATGTTTTTCCAACTTTTTGTGCCTTGATGTCCACAAGGGCAAATCATAATTTGAGGGTGGAATGTTTAAATCTCCCCAAAATTCTTTTTCCCACCAAATTTAGAGTAGCAGCCAGTGAATGATGTTCATATTTTTCTGTTCTCAGGGATGGCTGAAGAAACAGGGACACAATGTTGTGGCAGACTGGAAGAAAAGGTAACAGGAATATGAATATTGAAATGTTTCTTTAAGCAGTAAGTTAATTCAACCTTCAAACAGTGACATCCAATTCTCAATTTTTGTGTTCCTTGCAGATATGTAGCTATCAAGGGGGACAAGATCTGTTACTATGACACTTATGAGGTGTGTTTCATTTTCATTTTTTATTTTTTTATTTTTTGAGGGTTGATTTTTAGTAGTTAGTTCATTTTTGGTAGTTATGGTTCTCTTTGACAGGAATGGTTTGTTGGGAGACAATTTTAAACAAAATTCTAGTCGTGATTTGTACATGTTAACCCTTTAATTCCCAGATCAAATGCTTCATTCTCCTTACTGTCAACCATACAATTCTTATGATGCTAGTTTGGAGATTTAAGTATTGGATCAAGTAATTATCCTCAAATTGATATTTTTCTTTATTCTCATCACTTATCTGGTTGATATTGTGTTGATATTGTAAGGAGAAAGTCTGTCTTGGTCACTCATGGGAGTTAAAGGGTTAACTGATAAAAAGTTGTTACCATAAGAATTGTTTTCAGTGCAGACAACAATTGATTGACCTCCTTGATGTTCTCCCTTTTAATTGCTACACATTTCCCTGTAAATAATTTACGAGAATTTGGTGGTAGATCAAGATAACAACTTCTACCTGATAAGTTTGTGTATTCTGATCACCCATTTGCTTGATAATGTATGGATGTTATAAGGAGAAGTTACATATTGATCACTTCCAGGGGTTTACTAGAACCTCAAAATATTACAATATTTAGGTTTTATTGTTTCTACAGATTTATTTGGGGATTTTACTTGAAGTGTTTTGGAGTATTTCAGGGCACATTATTATTCTCATTTTCCCATTGTTGCTGTGACTCACTGTAGAAAAGCACATGGTCATGTATGTTCTTTTAATTTAGGACTTTATTTATGCAACACCAATAAATTGCATCAATGCTGCTTTGGCCAAAGTGAAAACTGTTGATGGACATAAGAACAGATTTGTAATAATCACGTTCCACAAGTCTTATAGGTTAGTTTTATTTATTGTTATGGATTTTTCTTTACACTTGTTTAAGTTACCTTCAGTCAACCATTTGCTGGTCACTTTTTGTGTAAAAATGTTTACTGAGAAGGTCTTGTAAAGTGTGACTGAAATGTTCATGAGGAGGCTTGTATGATTCTCAAATGTATTTTGTTTGAGTGTTTTAAAAACATATGAAAACGGAGTGAGGATACTGTATTAAGGCCTTAAAATAATATGTAATTAATAATATTAATACGAATTAAGGTAGGGCTTGGAGAATTGGAAATGAATAATTGATGGCCACGAATTTTGATTGTTCGTAGTTTCCAAGGAGATAGTGAATTTGATGCTTCCTCGTGGATTGTTGCCATAGAAACAGCCATTCAGATCGGACTTGGTGATACAACGGTGAGAGAACTTTCTCTTAGAGAACTTTTGGCAGTAAACTAGGATCTTGGGTCCTCCAATAAGCCTCAAAACTCTAGCCATGTTGACCGGGTGCTCAAACGTACCTTTCACCGGACGGAACTCCCAGGTAGAAGTGCTACACCACTATCGAGGTATTCTGAGAACACATCGTCAGAGACAGACGAAGTTGGAGGTGCAGCCAGTCATAGCTGGAGGGGGCACTCTATATGAGCGATAGATGAAGCGATAAATGGGAAAATTTTTTCTCTTTTACATCAAAGTAACTGAATTGAGAGTTTCTTTTGATTAGAGATCCTTCTTCCACTAAAAAAAGAGGAAAGCAGAACAATCAGTTGCAATCTGGCGCCTGCAACCTGCTTCCCCGCATGCTCAAAAAAAAATCTAGTGTGGTCTGATGATGCCAACAAGGATTTTTTAATTAATTACTATTGTGGGTGTGTTACTGACCCCTCGTGTCTTTTGTATTTCCTACTGTAGATTCGTGAAAAAGTTTGGGAGAATCCGAGTAACCGATTTTGTGCAGACTGTGGAATGAAAGGTTAAATTTTGTATTTATTTCAATGATCAGTTACCTTTCGGTGGCCTGTTTTGTTGAAATGCGTTTAACTTTAATCAGCTGTTACAGAACTCGGTGTCGAAGCATCCGAAGCACTATAGGGGAGGTCAGCGGTTCGACTCTTGCAAGCACTTCACTGCTACACTGGCTGAAGAATTAATTGATGCTTCACTTCATTAGAGCACACTTTATCTATTATGACTTTTATTTTTAATTTCAGATCCAGTGTGGGCATCGGTCAACTTCTGTGTTTGTGTTTGTGCAAAATGTATTGGTAAGTTCATTTCACAGCCTAAAGGTTTATTACAAGCTGCACAAGTTTTACAGGAAAGTGCTGTTGGGTTACACCTCATTGTGGTGCTACAGAGCTGTGAGAAGGGAAAAAAATGAAACAATAGCTTTCATTTAGCGGGAGAATAACCTCAGATATTTGTCCACGGATATGATCTGTTCAGAGAGGCTCGTTAAGGAACATGTTATGGCCAAGGACAAATATACAAGCATAATTTTGAGCCAACTAGAGACTATTGTGTATATATATATATCCATCCCAATATTTTCTGCACCGCGCGGGACGTTTCTGATCAAAAACATTTCCTTTCTACATGGAATGTTGACTTTCCTGTGATCTGCGGCAAGGTTCATGAGCAAACGTGTTAGAGTCTTTTTCTGAAAGAAGAGCAGAACGCTTTCATTTATGTAATTATTTCCACGACTTTGATCACACCGTACTTAAAGCTTCAAAATAGGGCATGTCATTTAGGGATTACCCGCTAGTACTCCAAAGTTTTAGTTAAAGGATATTCCGGCGGCGGGAGACCAATCGCGCATGACGGAAAATATTGAATAAATTTTCATGTTACGCATTACTTTTATTTTAAAAGGTGTTCATCGCAACCTGGGGGTTCACTGTTCTCGTGCACGTTCTCTTCTCATGGACGAGAAGATCTGGAACCCAGCTCTTATAGAGGTAAGTCTATTTCCGCAAGGAGCTTTTCTCATTTGAAGCATTTTGATTATAGGATCAGACTTACATATATGGTCACGGTGCCCTAAAGAATCGTTGAACGAATAGTATTGTACTGAGGTCGTTAAATTGTATGCCTGTTTTGTATACGCCTTGTCATGGATTTACATAAGTGAATGGCGGAATATTCTCGTATTTGCCAGAATCCTGCGAGAATCTAGCGGAGGGGATTTGAAAACAGGTTGAACAGAAAGTTCATTTCCCCCACTCGTTGTCTTATTCATATTGATATTTTGACGTTAGAAGTTCAATGCTCAATTTGATCGGCATGTACTCACAAGATCAGGGGCGAATGTTTATCTCAGTAGGGTTTGGAAATTTTTTCAATTTATAGAGAAATTTCAACTAAAAAATTTTCAAATACAGTGCGACGAAACACCTTTGATTCTGCCTTCTCTCTGTACACTCGCACGAGTTTGTCTCTCGCCGAGTGATGATATGTACCATCACTACCAGTCAATGACTTTTTTCATTTGACAATTCTCCTCATAATCTTGCACTGTTTCAACTTTTATCTCAACACAGCTGATGATAAAAATTGGAAATGACAACGCCAATCAACTTCTTGAACACAAGTTACCCGAAGACGACAAAATAACACCAGATGCCAATGTGTAAGTAACCCTTAAAAAAACCTTTTGAATTCTCCTTACTGTCTGTCATACAGTTCTTGTGTTGTAAGTTCGGAGAATTTGGTATTAGATCAACTTACCCCCTAATTGATATTTTTCTTTATTCTCATCTCTTGTCTGCTTGACATTGTGTTGATATTGTAAGGAGAAATTCTCTCTCGGTCACTCATGGGAGTTAAAGGGTTAAGAGCCAGAAAATACAGCATGCATGGGTGGGTAGCGGAGAGTGATGCCCAGAGCCCGTAAGCGCCCCTTGAAATCATGTAACCAACCTTCCCTTTATCGGATGTTTATGTGGTATCGACACAGATCAGGATTGTGTCTTATTACTAAATTTTGTCCATGAAGTAATGCGGCTTTCGTATATTCGGGAGCCGTAACTTCTTACAACCAGAGTGAAACTTTGATTCTCGCTGTCCTTCATTTCCCCATTTTTGCATTGATGTGAACTGATTTATGTTTTTGATAGGTTGTTTTTTGTTGTATCTCTGTTCGAACCATGTGAGGGAAATCAAGCATAAATATTTCTCGTCACCGTTTGCAATAAACATGTCTCCAAATGTATTTAATTGTTAGATTAGCAATCTTCTGTCTGTACTGTTATCTACTAGTTTCGTTAATTTAGAAGTATGATTTATGCGTTCCCAGCTTGTTATCATATGTTTCAGTTCGTTGACATGGGAAAAGGGAAATTTCGTCCAGCCATTTACGAGATTTAAACAAAAAATATGCACAAGCTAAAACAAGAAAATAGGCATGGAAAACAAATAATGAAAACTTCATTCAAAGCCTCAATCCCGGTAACAGCGAGCCAACTGAGCAATAAGTGTTAAGTATTGCAAAAAAACATACCAATTTTTAAATTTATTTTAGTGCGGCGAGACGAGAGTTCATCTATTCCAAATACTGGGAAAAGAAGTACGCCAAATACCATCAAGCTTTTGGAGATCCTGAGGCGCTAGGAAAGGTACATTTTGTAATATTTCAAGACAGAAGTTGGGCGGGGGAAACTTCGTCTCCGTTTACTTCCTTAACGCGTGTGAAGTGTCCGCCAAAACTTTGGTAGGAAAGCAATTTTTGAAACACCTGAACTGTCGCTAAGCGGTCATGTGAATAAGTTCTCGGCGAGTCTTTGGCGGAAGGCAGTTTTAGACAGCGAATAGTCACTGTAGTGGGCAGTTGTGTGACACGTGCGTGTTTCCCGCCAGTTCTGTGGCTAGCAGGCAGCGTTACAGCTGATTCTGTGGCCTGAGGTGTGATCCGTATCAGACTCCCGCCAAAAGTGTCACGCTACTAATGCATACTTTTCACCAAATCTGTGGCTGCCAGGCAGGTTTTAACAGCTGATTCTGTGACTTGCGGTGTGATCCTTATCAGTCTCCCGCCGAAAATGTCGTCAGCTGCTAAATTTGTTATATCTTGTTTTGTAAAATCTTTAAACGAACTTTGAGTTAATACAATAATTTTAAAAAAGAATAATTTTACCGACCGGTCTACCGTCTCGTTTGTGGTTTCTCACCTTACACGTGTCAAATATATTTTGAAACCGCATTAATTGCATCTTGTTTTGTTTGAACCGGACACAGTTTGTTATGCACATTACCAATGGTCATTTTCGAATTTCGCTTTGTTTTGGTGTAGGTCTTGCGGGACACTGTGGTCACAAAGGACATTTTATCCACCATGGAACTAATTTTAAACAAAGTGGATGTAAGTCAATGATCCTAGACTTATTAGCCTTGACTTTATTTATGCTGGAATACATTTTTATCCTCGGAAGTTATCCTTTCGAAAATTTAATTTTCCACATCGAAAGATGAAACGCCATAATCATTTATTGCTGTATAATTTAATTAATTTACTCCTCCGTAAATAAGCGCGGCTAAAAGTTTTTCTTACCAGTGGCGAAACAATTTTGCGAGCATTATACAAGAAAATTATCGATGAGACATGCAACAGAACTGGTAGGGGTGTGGCGATAAAATCGAGTTATTTTTACTCCGAAGATATATATTATTTTCTCAGTTTTCATAATGGATGCTTTCAAAAATGTCCACTTTTAATCTCTTTTAATTTTTTCCTCTTTTCTTTGCCAGGTTCGTTACGTTGCCTCAGATGCTGAGGACGAAAAAACGCGTAAGTTGTGAAAATCTTTCATATAAGTTCCCTACTTTCAAACCAAGTCTAGAAACAATTTTTTTTTAGTTTTCAATTTTCAATCCGGTTTCCCTTTCGCCAACAACTAAAGAGAACGTAATGGGCTGTAGGGTATATTTCAGTAGAAAATTTTGAAAGCAGATACAGTCGAACCTGTACCACGGAGAATGGCGGGGAAAATGCTTGATGCAGGTTGACCGCTAAATACAACTTCACATAACAGGAGCCAAAAAAGAATAAAAAACGCAGTTTTTCTTAACAGTCTTGTGAAGAAAGATAATCGGCAATGTGGAGAAGACATTTGAACTCAAAGTAGTGGCAAAGATTTCGGGAGATAAACATGAAATAAATTCGACTTGAGAGATTATTCTTAGTAATATTTTAGTGGTTCCGCTTTAATTGACCGTTCAATACAGGTAGAATACAATACAAACAAGCTGTTGGGACTCAGTCAAAGGTGACTACGACCCTCTAATAGAGGTGATCGCTTAGTAGAGGTGAAAATTATAGTAACTACGGGGAAAAAAGTTCGCGACTTTGACAACCGACTGCTTAGAAAAGAGTGACCGCTTAATAAGGTGCCGCTTAATACAGGTTCGACTGTATCTCGGTTGAAAGGCCTAAGGTAAATGGTGAATGATTTGCTACGCTGAGATTGTAATTTTGAAATTTTTTTTTCCTTTTAAATTGGACAGCGCTCGAACTGGCGGAAGAAGCTGGACAAACTCTTCAAGCAGTGAGTACTTTGTGTAGGAGTAAATTGTGTATTGTTTCTCGACTTGCTGAACGCCGGCTGAAAAACCGCTTGTTTTAATGACGTTAAAGTTTACTTGCTTTCAAGATCTCCTGATGTTTTTCATTCATTATTTAATTTAGGAACTGCTCCGACAGAATGGTGGAGAAGGTATGTGTTGTCTTGATTTTTTTCTACTTTTCTTCCTTGTTTTTGTCATTTTGGAATCGTTTGCAAGTTGTGCAAAGGAAGAGGTCTGACTCTTGCGTTCTTCTCTAGGAAAACCTGATCAGAACTTAGGTGATGACCAAACAGCGACGCTTAACACTGAGGTAAGATTGTAGACTGTCATGTCTGTAATACACGATATGGTATTGATGGACACATTCAGCGCTGTTCATCAATTGTCGTAAGGCAAACCCAAAGTACACACAGCGGCCAATCAGAACGAAGAGGAATACCTGAATGAGCCAATAAAAACTCGAATCAACCAGATTCTAGCGCGGGAAAACGCCAGAATTATTTTTTGCATCTTATTGGTTGAGAAGGTGGCACAAGATTTCAAGACACAAAGTGGAATAAAATTTTAATAAATTGATGCAAGTATGGATTACTTTCGACACTCAATTTTAAATTGCAAAAATTGTGGAATGGATTGGATCGATGTTTTCGTCATATTTTACCCTTTAGTACTGATAAACATAGGTAATTTCATTTCGTCATCCCATAATTCCAATAGTCCTTTTAAATCAAACGATGTTGATTGTTTCTTTGACAGGCTTCTCAGAGTGCTCCCATCGAAATAGTTTATGAAAAAGAGGGATTCTTGCAAAAGAAAGAAGGAGTAAGTTTTAAACGCTCTGATTTTAGAGACGAGGTGAAAAGCGGACGCGCAAGAATGGAAAGCGAAAACTGAGGTTGCAGTTCGGGATCAATATCAGTATCTGGGCAACTGCCCACCTACCCCTCCCCGAACTCAACAACAGTTAATTGACAACAACTTAAGGTTAATGTTGGGTTAGGGGAGGGGTAGGTGGGCAGTTGCCCAGAGACTGATGTTGATCCGCAGTTCGTGTCAAGGAAACTGTTGTGTTGTTTTGCATTTTGCTTGGCGCTCCCACCTACAGTTGCCAACACCATATTCCGCGTCCATTTTTCTCTTATCTCTACTGAATTGAGCCTGCTGAGCTTGTTTAAGATCAAATCTCCTCACCAAGGCCCGTAACGTTCTAATGTTACTAACTTGCTGACATCTGCGATTTCATATTTTGTTGTAGAGCTGGAGAAAAAGGTGGTTTCTGTTGAAAGACAGGCATTTAAAGTATGCCAGAGGGGTTAGTGGAATTTTTTTTATCGTTGGTTCATTTCTTCAGGGAAAGAAAATCGAGTTTTGTAATTGCTTTTGTTTGAATGATAAATCGATTTTGCTAAAACTGCTGGCTTACTTGTTCGCAGCCACATGACAAGGACGATCTTGTTACGATTGACCTTAGAGCAGTGACGTCACTAGTGAGATGTCCCAAGGGAGAGCAGTTACAACTGGATATTGTTACGGTTGACAAGTAAGAAGAGTTTTGCATTATTCTTTACGCGAACTAACTTCGGTTGTCACTTTCTCTATACTGTTCTGTATACATTTCCTAAGGTGCTAACAAGAAGGATTTGTTTAACAACCAAAAGGTTCTTTAGTTGGTGATCATTTCCCATATTCTCGTGAGCCTAATGTGTGATTCAGGGGTGATATTGTAAGGACAGAGGAGATCCTAGTCACTCTTAGGGGTTAAAGTGTTAAATGTGTTCGTTAATTGCCTTCAGGTCCTTATTTGAGAGAGTTTTACTCGCAAAAGCGTACTAATTATCTAAGAAAATGTGAAACTGGACCTAAACATTGATTTTTTCTGTAAAAAGAAACGGTGACCAGAAGTTCCTCTCTATTGTAAGTTCGTTCTCTACAAGTTTGCCCACACAACGACGAGTCGCGAGTCCGGGAAATACATATATATTTTTCGTTTTTTATAGAACGCATAGTTTGAAGGCTGATAGTGAAGAGGAATTGGAGGGCTGGTATTCAGCTCTGAGAAGCAAACAGGTAAGAGTCTGGGACTGAAAGAACTGAGTAATTTAGTATTATCGACCGGGTTGATAACGTAAATTGGCCACCGTGAAGAGTTTCAAAACTGACATTTCGAGCGTGAGCCCTTTTCAGAGCGAATGGAGAAATTGTGGGGGGTGTGTGTGTTTATATGCGTATTTTTCTGCATATAAAAGCCGCAGTTTCTTTAGAAACTTACTCCCTTTATTGTAAGAAATGACTCGACTTTTATTAATTGGTATTGTGTAACCAGCGTATCCACTTAATTGAAACTATTTATTTCCGCAGGTTTTTGGTGTTCTGCTTTGTCAGCAAGGGCTTGGTTCTGATGGAATCCCACACTTAGTGGCGAAGTGCTTGCAGTTTGTCGAAACTTATGGTAATTCTTTTTTTTCTAGGCGGAAAATTGATGTCAAATGATTAGTGTGACTACAGACGCGCCTGATTTAAGAAAGCAGCTAATGCACCAATTAAATTTGAGGAATTTGGTATGGTTATGATTAACGATGTCATAACCGATTCTATGAAATATTTTCGATCACTCCAGGTGGCCTCGAGATGGAAGGAGTTTATCGTGTGAATGGTGGGCAGTTGACAATGAAAAAACTGAGAACTTCCTTTGATCAAGGTATCAAATTTGTCTAAAAATCCATAGTGATTTGTGATTTGAAAAAGAACTGTAGTTCATTATGTTGGACTTTTCGTGTAGTCTTATACCGACTTATTGGTATCTCTCCTTAGACGCTGGTAGCGTGTTGCTAACTTTGGATGAATGCGGGGTCCATGACGTCACTGGAGTACTGAAGCAATACTTGCGACAACTTCCCGACCCAGTCATCCCTGGCACCATGTACAAGCATTTCATTGCAGCTGGCTGTAAGAATCAATTTTTTTTTTGGGGGGGGGGGGGGAGGGGGATAAATAGATTGTGTACTGAGCGTCGTGGGTATTTTGAACGAGATTTCTCTGGATCGTTTAATAACAGCACTCTGTGTTGGCTCTACAAAGCTCGCACTGCTCTTTCACGACCCGTCAGATGTATTAATCACGTCTTGGTTGTACCACACCTTGCACGATTTTTATGGTTGTTGCGCCTTTCACTGCTCGCATATTTTCCCGCGCTTGACGTTTTTTCCTGCGCGTCTTCAGTGCCCCCGGCAAGTTCTCTTGTTCTTTCGTATTCTATAGCTCTGTTAGTTTCTATTGCTCGCGCAACGTTGTTAAAGCAATTAATAAAGATAAAGATATGGCCCATTTCTCATTGATTAGTTGCCAAACCACGGTCAAAAGTACATTGGGTTTCCCTGCACTTTTTACCCTCTGCCATGTTCATGTATTTCGCGAGAACTATGCAATTTGTCGAATAAGAGATTATTTCGGAAGGTAGTGTATTAGATACTACTCGCAACGGGGCGTGGTAATTAATGATAATGTAGTTGTTCATGGTAATGTATCATTTCTTGGCTAATTTATCCTTTTATTTACTTCTTTCCTTAGCAATTCAAGACCATAATACAAGACTACAGACAATCAAATCTTTAATCAACCAGCTTCCTAAAGTGAACCATGGAACTCTTAAGGCGATCATCTCTCATCTGACTAAGTAAGTGTAGGGACAATAGGGGTTGCGCTCCATCAAAATCGAACCAGAATCACTGTAACATTTCCTAGTTTTACTTTCGCGCGGCCTTGGGAGACCCAGCGGCCTGGGGTCTAGGACAGAACTTAGGATTGGGAAGTCCAGTTGGAACACCGACCAGTGGGTCGTCTTGTTTTCGTACTGATCTCCACTCTCCGCTCAGGGGTATAACTGGGAGCTGGCGAACTGTCAGAGAAACCTGACGAACTGCTGACGAGGGGGGAACTGCGATGGATAAGCTTCTTAAACTAGAACAAAAAAAAACATATTCTCTCACTTTCTTTTATGTGTCATTACTTGGGGTTTGGGGACATAGTTCAGTCAGAAAAGCTACATCAAACAACAATGACTTGTCAACTGATCTTAACGCTCAAGGCGATAAGCTGCTCTGTTGATTACTTCTTGGGAGTTGTTAATTACCTCGTGGGAGTTGTTGTATTTATCGCCTGTTCCATGGACAGTCCAAATCAATTTTTTTGTGACTTTTGCGAAGAACGAATCAGCTTTACAAGGGATTATATACGAGAGATTTATTCAGGTTTTGTTTTGCCATGTCCTAATATTGGTTATTAATTTTCTTCTTCCTTTTCAGAGTGACCGAGCTAGTTAGTGTCAACAAAATGGGAGTGCCCAATATTGCCATGATCTTCGGTCCTACTTTGATGTCCAATGAAAGCGTAAGCATCGTTCATATTGTTGCTGGAACATAATTCGGTATTGAAAGTCATCGAAGAATCAGTGAATAGTTGGTGAACACAACTTGAAAAGCTTTTTTTCTTACAGTTGCTTACATTTGTAAATTCTATTGAACTCTCAAAGCTTCTTATTTAGCCTTCCTTTTTTACTTTTTACGGCTTCCTTTTTCACATTGATTGATTGACCGTGTTGCAATTGTCTTCATCTTTTATCTTTTTCAATTAGACTGGGCGAATGGACGATTCCTCAATTAATCAGGAATTCTCCATTGTTGGAGACATGATCACGTATTATAAGTGGCTCTTCGACGTAAGTATGAGATAGGTACCTTCTGGTATAGACCTGGTTCATATTTTAAAAAAAATTTCCTGCTTACTCTTACTATTGGATGAGAAAGGAGCTAAAAATGGGTTCTAGGCAAGTGTCGGGGATACCAGAAAAATCACTGGGAGAGGGGAGGGAGGTGGTCAACCTTCGATGGATTAGGATCCCACCTCAGAGGGGTAGCATTAGTTTAAGACGCAAAGTCTGCATTCAATTCCGAAAGTCACTCTTGTCAGTCTTGTATGCAGACTCTACTTCAAAGATAAAGCCGTAGAATTCATTCCCTCACTTTTGTGTAAGACTTTAAGAAAATTTGGCGCATCAGCGAAACTGTGCCCTTTCGTAAACAAGTGGAACTTTGGCTCCCACCAGTGGGATAGTTACAATAATGATTAATTTTCTATCTTTTTTTTTTTTTTTTTTTCAAGGTGAGTGAGGAAGAAGAAGAGAAAGCCCAGGTTCGAACGAAGAATTTACTTAGCCAATACCTTGTCATTAGATTCGCTATGTTCTCGGGTATCTTTGCAGTGTTTTCAATTTTGTTTTCTTATTTATTAATTAGGTAATCGAAGAAGCCACTCAGAAGATACGAGAATTGATAGAATTGAAGGTAACACTTTTGCAACATAAGCAAGCTTTCTTAGCTTTTGGTCTTAGTTTGTGGTCCTAGAGCGCGCCTCGATGGAGTAACGAAAACGACCAATTGTAACGAAGGAAAATATCACAAGACCACGAGTGCGGGTAAACGCGGATCACCAAGTCACGTGGTTTTCAAATTTGCTTCTCATATTGATCTAGCAGTTGGAGTGGCTTTTCTAGACCAATCACAGAGCGTCTGAAATCAAAACCCATACAATCTTGGATTACTTTTGACACTCAATTAAAAATTGTTTTCTTGCAGTTTCTTAGTTTTAAAACTACGCCATTTCCTGTTTTTTTTTTTCGTTTCAATTCGATTTATTTCTTAAACAGAAATTAATCCTCTCTTCTTTTCCGGCGAATAATGTTTTTAACTAATTTTTTTTTCTCACAATGTACAGGACAAACAAAACAATTCCGGAGGAGAATTCACTTTGGATATTTACGTAAAAGAGAAGAATGACAATCCACATTTAATGAAGGTAACACATCCCCCGTGGTGTTTTCCTGATCAATAATTAGCTTCTCTCGACAGTATCAGTTTGTTTAAGAGCTGACAGTTATTTAGAATGAATAAACACAATTTATGTAAAGTAGGAACTAGCAAAGCTGCAAATGATGAAGTTTAAATATTTCGTGAGATGCTTTAACTGCAACGTAGCTCCATAAGAACACTATGTTGGTTCGTAAGGAGAATTAAGGTTTTGGACTGATTGGAAATGTTTCCCTGTCAGGTTTCGTCTGAGATGACAGCAGGAAGACTTCGTGCAGAGATCGTTTCTCAAAAGGCACTATCGCCCGATATCGACTGGGTGCTGTTTGAGGTTATCGATAATGGTGCCATGGGTGAGTGTTGTATCCAGTCTCCTGTCACCTCATCTATAGTACTCTTCCATTGTATCTAGAAACACAAATCAAAGTAATCACGTAGAACAAAGGAACATATCACAAGCAAATGAGCAAATGAGAAGCTAGAAAACTGCGTGGAATGTGGAAAACCTCGCGAGAACAAAACGCGAGTGGGGCGAGGAGCGAGTTTTCTCGAAATCTTGAAGTGGGCTCTGAAGCGAATTTAGAATAATTCTGGGTTACTTTTAATTCTCAATTGAAAATTTGCTCCTCCTCTAACATTTTCAAACCTTTTTAAGTAACATGCCCGTTCAAAATTAGTATTTATTTCTTATTTTGTGTGTTCTCTATCAGAGCGAGCGTTTCAAGTCAGAGAGAAGGTCATGACCGCGGCAAACTGGGGGAGTGGGAACTACTTGATCGTCAAAGAGAATTACATCGCAGAACAGATCGCTCCATATGTAAATATTTTACTTATTCTCTACGAAATAATTTGCTACAAACCTCTGTTTCGAGGAGATCCTCATGATTCATTAAGTGACATTTTGAGAGACTTCAGTCCGATTGAAATTTGAGGCTATAACTGATGACCTTATCATTAATGCTTCTGTATTTAGTGGTTAAATTAATGTCTTTTTACGCTGTCCATGTGGGATTTTAGATTTGCCGCAATATTGATTTGATTTCAGCGATGCTTGATTTTGCTTAATTGTGATGTACCTGGAAAAATGCCTCAACTGCTGCATGATTTTCAGTTTCACGCTCGCAAGCAGGAGTAGTAACAGTGATCCAGTCAATCCGGCTGCATGTGGTATTCTCCTTAGAGTCGTTTTATTTTTGGAGGAGTTTAAAAGTATTCTTATGACATGAAAACTTACTTGAACACGACACAATCTACAAAAAGGTAGTTTGACTAGAAAGAAAAGAAACAACATGAGACGAATCTACCAAAGAGGAAGGAAGAAGGCCAAAGATAAACATAGATGGATAACAAGATTAAATTTTGGTTAAATCTTTCTTTCAAGATGTACAGACCGAGACGTAGGTCCCCTGAAAAAGTTTCGAATGTCTTGTTGATATAGCTGTCCTTGTTTTGAAAAGTTTGTTTTTTCAATGGTGATATTGGTTTTATTTTTGTGTTTGATTGTTTTTTTTGTTGTTCATCTGTTGTCAGGTCGGTACCCTCTCGATCGAAGGCTCCCTCTACATCCGGGATCCTAAAAAGAATTGGAAACAGAGTCTCGTGTGTCTGAAGAATGGCTACATGTCGGTCAACAAGGAACGTGGGGTACAAACTATTCCCTTTGTTACAAGTTCTTTTTGCATTTGACGCTTTGTTTCCAAAATTGAAGCGATTTTATTTGTTTTACTTTGTTTGGTTTTTCTTTACCTTTAGTCAATTTTACGAGCCATCAAGTCGGACAAATCAGACTCAGAACAATGGCCACTGCATAAACTAACCTTGTATGTGGGTATTCCAGCCGAGAAAGCCACAAAAACAGTGGACACAAGGTAATCAGTTATTCTGACACATGACGATCCACAACTGAATTTGTGAGGTCGCGTACATTGCCTATCAAAAGTTGTTGAAAGAGAATATTAAAACTTTTTCTCGAACCTGAGACAAAGCAAAAAAAGGAAAAATAAGAATAAAAAAGAGTTTCCCAGGAGAATTCGAACCCCAGATCTTCCGATTTTCGCGTTGATATTCTCTACCAAATGAGTTACAATGAGGTATGTGTTTGGCGAAGCAGGCCATGTATCAGGTTTTGGGTAGCAAACAAAATCTTGCCTTCATATTTGTTTTTACGGCTGCTTTTTATTAAGTAATTTTTAAACTAAATTGAACTCGAGAACACTGACATGATCATTAGAATAGCATATGCATAATTTTTTGCGTTAGTTGTCAACAACTGCCGAGCTCTTCTACACAGTAGTAGAGGATATGAGAAAGTAACCTTGTGTGAGCGTCATTTTTGGCTTAATCTTTGCGCAAATCTTCTTCGCGCTGAATCGTTCAGATAGCGCGTATAAAAAAGTATTGGCGTGCATTAGCTTGAACTGCATTCATAAGCATTGCTCTGTATTCTGTTGGCTGATTATCATGAATTTTTTGGTTATTTTATTCTTCTTAGTTGCGGGTTCACTGTTGTGGTTAAAACAGATCAGGAAGACATTGTCAGGTTTGTAGAAAACAGTCAAGAACGTCCAGTGTTGCAGATTTAATCAGACCTAGAGCATCCTTATGGCGTCGTCTGTTGTTACTTGGGAGAAAAGGAAGGCAGGAAAAGAAAGCGGGGGAGGGAAGGGTTAAGAAAAGAGAACACGAACAGATTACTTTAGGGGAAGAGAGAGCGAGGAGAACACTAGGGGGGTGGAGGAAAGAGAAGACACTCCCAGTGGTAAAGATATGGATTAAGTCAGGCACGTCGGAGTGAGAAATTTCTGCTCTCTTGCGCGTGTTTCCTGCATTATTGTCAAGTGTGTGCGACGCGGGCAAGATGTATTTAGATTTGATTTACAAACATTTACAGCTTTAGACGCCTAATTCGAATCAAACGATTTTGTTAATGTTTTCGCTGTAGGTATATGTGTGCCAAAGACAAGGATGATAGGAACCGTTGGTTGGCTGCAACACTGAACATGAAGGTAAAAAAAGAATTCAGTTGAAACTAATTCTGGGTTTACTCTAACACCGTGGTCTTAATAAATATTTCTAGTCGCGAGAAAGAAGAGTGACAAAATATATTGAGTCGAGCCGTGTTCAAGGTTTCAATTTTTTTGTTCGAGTTCTTTAAGATATGCGAATAGTTCTTTGTTTCAGGGGAGATCCACATCAATTTATACTTCGCTGCATGTTCTTTGAAATATTGCGAAGACATTCAACTAAAAACCAGAACTCCTGTTTTTTTTGAAATTTTCAATTGAGTGTCAATCAACCAATACAAAAATAATCCCAGAAACCAATCAGAACCAAGGTTACATCATCATTAGCCAATGAGAACTCAAGGTTAAAACAAGAAAACTGCTTGAAGCGCGGAAATGACCAAGACTCCATTGCCTATAGTTTTGTGCCTGATTGGTTGAACGATAACTAGCGCGTATTTACCGGACCAATCACAGAGCAAAGGTGGGAAAAGCCAAAGAAGTCTCGGATAACTTTCGACATTCAATTGAAAATTGCTCCAAAGGTGATAAATCAACAGCTGCAGTAAGAGAAAGTTTCCAATAACCACATGGAAAGTGTTTCCTAAAGAAAATCAGCAGTATGTCTCACGCGAGCTTTTTTCGAATTTTTTTTCAGCATCCTGAAGGCATTTGGTCAGATCCCACACAGGACTCAGAGGTGTTATACTCCTTGGTGGGTCCAAAGGTAAAAAACAGTCTTCGTACAACAAGATATGAAAAGAGATCTACAAATATTTTTGATCTTCCGGAATTGTTGTTGAAATTATCCTGAGCGAGCTCTCTGCTTGTTGGCCTCTCAAGTGCGTTATGCTGTTTTAAAAGCAAAGGACATTGCTTAAAAAAACTATAATTTGAATACAAAATAACAGAATACCAGAATACTAAACAAGCTCAAATAAATTCGTGGTAAAAAAGCTGATAAGCGATATAATTTCCCCATAATTCCATACTTAATTCTGCATGGGGATTGTTGATAAAGGTAACTACTAGTCTAAACGGCGACAGCAACAGATTACGTTTCGGACAGAGGCTTTGTTTGAGAATTGTATGGGTTACATGGAAATCTTTTCTTTGCTTCTACCAGCGCTAAACATTCTTACTAAGTTTGTTTCTTTAAACAGGGCGCGCAGGGAGACGATTCGCCTTTATTCCTTGGAAGACAGGTTTGTTACTTAACGAAATAATTTGGTTTTATCAACTGAGTTGATAATGTAAATTGGCCTCCGTATAGAGTTTCTAAAGCTGACGTTTCGAGCGTTATCCCTTCGTCAGCAAAAGACGAAGGGCTAACACTCGAAACGTCAGATTTAGTATGTGAGGCCCTCTACAGGGCCTCACAGAATACCACTTTCCAGTGACGTGGGCCCCCTTTGTAAAGACTGTTATTATTATATTATTATTGTAATTATTATCTCTTTACGGTGGTGAATTTATAGAGTCAAATTATCTTGTTATATCTCCTAACGACGCAGCACCACAGTTTCCCTAGAAACGTACCCCTTTTATTCATTTGTTACTGAGCCATTTGATATCTTTATCGTATGGTGTCCTCCCTTTGTCAATTACCTTTTTGAAATGATTTTTTATCATTGATATTTGGCAATTTCTGTCAACAGTCAGTACATCTTCGACGGCAAGGCTCCACGAAGCACATCGTGGACGAGCTCAGAATTCGGCAAAAGTCCTTAAGACGTCCCAAAGACAGAGGCCCTAAGACATGAGCCGTAGGATCCATTAACTTTTTTTTGTGTGAAGCCTAGAAAGAAAATAGAATGCACAATTTTTATTTCAATGGAAATTAAAAATCGAATGTGCACATGTGAAAATAGAGAGCGAAAAATTGGCCATTAGAATTTAAGCTAGTGACGATAATTTGTAAGGATGATAAACGGTAACACATTCGTGATCAGAAAATGAAAATAATTGAAAGTAAATATCAAAGTTTATTAGAAATGGGTTCTACCTGTTCATACATTAGTTAGGATGCATCAGAAAAAACGAGTTTAATAAACTCGTAAGAGGTTAAAATTAGAATTGAAATTTTGTACGCGTTGCATTCCTAGATTGTTTCGAAGGAAATTGAGGAACAAGCAATATGCTTGTCATAGGGGAGCGTGAAACTCGAGGAGAACGCGGAATGGAGCGTTAATCACGCGAAACCAAGCAAACCCGTGTCAGTAGTTAGGATCCACGCAAGCTTCGCGTGGTCACGTGCAACTTAAGCCTTGCAAGTTTTAAAGTGATCCACGCTAAAGTCGCGTCAAACGCGTTCCACGCAGATCTTGACTGTTCGTGCTTGTATCTGATAAAGAATTTCGTTTTTTCATTCATTTTTTTTTTCACGTAAACGTTATAACCCGGGTAAGTTTGAAAACATTTGAAACTTTCATTCCCTAGTAAACCAACTTTCTGATATAAACGTTTGTAACAGTAATCTTCACTCGTGGTAAAAATTGTTCAAAATTTCGTACTCTTCATCCTGTTTGTAGACTTGCCAAATTTAACAGAAGTAGCACTTACAGTCATGATCATGAGAGCAGGGTTTGCTGTTAAGACCTCTTAGTCATGTCATCATTTTACTTTGTATTGCGATAAAGAATGTATTTTTGTATTGTTTTGAAAATGTTGCCATTACGTTTTGATTACAATTAACAATGTTTTCTACGTGTAAACGTTAACCAACTTTCTAGTTTGTTCTTTTTTTCTCATAAAGGACAACTAATTTTTTACATAATTGAATTTTGAAGTGGTCAATAAGGAGTTAGTGATTTGGTAACTATAGTCAATGAAAACTGACGTCAAATCATGAATCTGGTCCTCAGTGTCATGTTAAAGCTTTAGGATTTGTATGGGATATGACCAACAGTAAAACAGCCATGAAAAATTACGCAAAGAGAAGGCATCCCAAAGTCTCTATGGTTAGTTCAATATAATTATCTAGGATTGGTTAACACTAGTCATGATGGCATACAGATTTACAGAGCTTTAAATTGATAATGAGTTATTCGTAAGTATTTGTTTTTTTTTAAGACAGAAATATAGATATATGTCAGCCATTATTATTTTTTTGGTTATTTTTGTACAAAAAAAAATGTAAGGATTTTTATCTTTGGTATAACTCAGCTTCAGTGTATATTCCTTTGAATATCAATAAAATGAGAGTCAATATTGTCTTAATTTTTGTCTTGACAAATATCCTGTAGCACACAATTTCAAACTGACAATTACTGACACGTAAACATGAGGACTGCTTGTCCACACACTAAAGATAAGTCAAGTTTAAACACTTAAACATAGCAAGGTTTATTTACAACACAACATATCAGATATCTAAATAAAAATTTGCCTTGACACAATGAAATTGAAAATTAGAAAAAAGAATGCCACTCTTAATCTTTATCTGATGTTTTCTTGAACAAATTGAGTATTGGAATGCATTTGATTGAAAGGTAAATCAGGTATCAAAATTTACTGAGCAACGCTGGAGTTATCAATTGAAAGGACTTCATCTGTGACATCAAGAACCAATCTTTTTCTCCAAAACAATGTTGTGAATGACTACTTTCTCCCTTACATAGCACTACGTTGTCAAGCAGAAAGGTGACAAGAAGAAAGGAAAGTATTACACTAGTTTTTCACAATCCTCAGAGCTGAATTATGAAATGTATGTCGGAGATATTTAGATCTTAGCGGAGAAAAGGTTGAAGAACCTAAAGAGAAACAACTTTTAACATGTGTGTTACTGAAAATTGAATGAATAGGCTATTAAAAGCTTGTTAATGATGGGACTGTCTCATCAAAGAATATTTATAGGCTGGGATTTCTGATAAATTTTTTTTGTTTTCATGATTGCCATCCTCAGTGCACCATTGAGTACATTCCAGTAGTTTGTATTGGAGGAAGAAATCCTTCACTTGTGTCTGTCACTTGGTTTACTTGTATTTCTGTGTATTTTGCTGGTTGATTTTCATCAGGTTTGCCCTCTGAAAGGGAAATGACCACAGGATTTAGGGTAAATTAAACACTAATGTGCTGAAAACAATTTCACTAATCAAAATATAAACTTTTTGATCACTGACTGGATAGTTAATTACTCTAGCAGAGCACATTTTTGTGTGATTAACAGTGGTGTTAGTTTTTCAACTGTCAACCACCATGCCCTTATAAAAGGGGGGGGGGGGGGGGGAGAAGAGGAGGGAAGGGGGGTATGCCCCAAGGGCATTCTTCCCTGGAGAAATGTGAAATTTGAAATTGTGACATGATTTTAAGCACTCTGGGAAATAATTTTGAGCAACTTTTTTAAACCTGACAGTGGTTTTAGAATAATTTCAAAAATACTTTTTTTCTGTCCTCAAGAGCACAAGTCACTTAGTGGGCTGGTGCAAACTGGTCTGACATCCCTCGGTTTTCACTGCCTCCTGGCTTGACTAGCAACCACAACCCTGAAACTGTAAGACCTGTAGCTTTCTATACTGTTTCAAACAAGATGGATCAATCCTCTCACCTATTTTGTGTCCTTTTGTATGCCTTTGGGGTCTTTGTAGCGATTCATTGTAGTTTGATGGGGGAACTTTCCTTGGACACCGCTGACCAAGTGTTGGGCGAATACCAAAACGACCTGTAATTTAGACAAACAAGCAATAAGTAAAATGGCATGACTTACGAATGAATTTGCTGGTTCAAATATTCACAAAAAATTATTTTATTGCAGCTCTGGTAAGCACTGATATGTGTTGAAAGGCAAAGATCCCAATTTCATAGGATGGGGATTAGCATTTATAACCAGTGTTTGTATTTTACATAGTTTTCATTAATTTATTAATTTAAATTTTTTACAGAAAAGCATTTTCTTGAGAAATCTTAAAATAATGAAGAGGCCTGACAGGCAAAATTTTTCTAAATGAAGAATGGCATGAATCATCAATAACTCACATTTTATATCTAGTTACAGAATCAAAGATAAAAGTATATCAATTCATTTAGCTTTGTCCAGCTTTCAAAACACATCAAAGTATAGCAGGATCATGATTATTATTAATCCTTTCAATGATTTTTCTTTTGGATTTGTACTCACGGGGATCTTCAACTCTTTCCTGTCTTCTATGCTCCAAGTGATCATTAATTATAGCTTGGGCCTTCAAAAAATGATAATGATAAACAAATAAATAAATAAACATGGCCCTCAATAATGCAACTGTGTATGACATCTATTTATATTCAAACACTTTTGCTGCAAATTTCACATACTGGTAATAACTTTCTTTTAATAGCTCCACAAACATAAGTAAAATCTAAAAGCTTAAGTGATGAGTGAAATATGTACTGGCTGAAAATCACATCAGATCTTTTTTATAATTATCCAACACCAGAAAACCATAAAACTGAGAAAGATCAATTTTACATGTCTACATAACCTGATTTAAACACAAGGTTATACAGAGAATTTGAGACAGTTCTGCAAACCTGAAATGCGGTAAACAGTTTGTATAACTTTCAAGAATTATTTTGACCCACAAGTATGTAGATATATGAGGCTATGTAAAGACAGAGAGTGTAAGTGGTACAAATATCATGTGTTTCATTCAGAAGTGTCTCATGAAGATATAACATTCTTACCTTTTGTTGACAGAGAATACGATCTGGATCAGTTGACAACTCTGTATTTGCAATATTATTTTTGATGGCCTATAAAATAAAAATCACAAAATTACAATACATTTATGATACTTCTGCTTAAGCTTAACTTAAAAATCATAATTAAAAATTGATATATATTCATAAACTTTTTTCTCAGTAGTCTCGCCCACCTACTTCTCCCTGTCATCAAGGCTCATATAGCTTTAGAAGCAAAAGAACTTTCAATCTGCCACAATTTCACAATAACCATTTTAAAAACTCATTCATTCCGGCCATGTGCCAATGAGTAAATAGCAATGTTTTGTAAACTGTAGTGCTTGTAGCCAGTAATTTGTACAGAGCACTTTCATAAATATATAGAGACCCTTTGTAAATAGCCCCAGTTTCAATTGTACTATATTTATATTGTAAAGAATTATACAATTCAGCCTTTGGCTGCGACTCAGTTATTCCTATTAAACTATCTAATAGTATCTAACTAACTTATGGTAATCGCTCAGTTAATGAGCAATTTTACAATGTATCTCAACCTGCCTGGCCAAAAAATAACTCTTACATGCCATGCATGCCTACGTATTTTTAGACAAGGTTGAGAATGATATCATGAATTATTAAAACTGAGGTATGACTTATCTGACAGAGTGGAGGTTTGATAATCCATGATATCATGTAAAAATCAAATTCAATAATTATTTTATTATACATTTTTTAAACAATAGACACCTCTCTCTAAGTTTGCAAAATTGTGAGAACACAACACAGATAAGGGGCTTGGAAACAAGGCAGACTTTGAAGTTGACATGATAAATACAACATCCACCACATATTTGGCAAAATTATCATGTCAACTTCACACGCTACTGTATATCGATTAAATGCTCTTGACCAATCAGATTTTTCATTATAAGTCTAGTGTATAATAATATAAAATATTTTGACCTATAATGATAGTAAAATTATGTTATTTACCATTGAAGCTGTAGATCTTGCATGAGCTGGAAGCTGTTCTTGGTAGTTGCTATCAGTAAAGTTATATTCATCTTCTACTGGTGCACTCTTGATTCTTTATTAGAAAATTAAAAACAATTTTCCATGTACATCAACTTATGAGTTAAACTACTATTTAAATTAGCCTTTCTTTTTACTTAAATTTGCCACATCATCCTCTATCATTCTGCATTTGCAGGCCCTACCACAGTATATTTAATATACTGCAATATACCTGCTATATGTAGAATGGGATATTTTGCAATTACAAGTAATTTTGTTGTGATTTTAAACCTACTTGTCTTGACAAAAAAAATTTTAAGAAAAATTAAAACAATTTTGGTGAAAAACAAAACAAAAGAAGAACCTGACTTACTTTCTGTTTGTCAACAGGAAGTATATCTTCTCTATTAACACTTAAATTTGCCATAACAGCCTCTATCATTCTGCATTTACAGACTCTACTACAGAAATATTTAATATACTGTAATACTCCTACTAAATGTAGAATGGGATATTTTGCAATTACATGTAATTTTGTTGTGATTTTAAACCTACCTGTCTTGACAAAAAAATTTTAGGAAAAACCAAAACAATTTTGATGAAAAGACAAAAGAAAGAAGAACCTGACTTACTTTCTGTTTGTCAACAGGAAGTATATCTTCTCTATTAACACTTAAATTTGCCATAACAGCCTCTATCATTCTGCATTTACAGGCTCTACTACAGTAATATTTAATATACTGTAATACTCCTACTAAATGTAGAATGGGATATTTTGCAATTACATGTAATTTTGTTGTGATTTTTTATCTACCTGTCTTGACAAAAAAATTTTAAGAAAAATCAAAACAATTTTGATGAAAAGACAAAAGAAAGAAGAACCTGACTTACTTTCTGTTTGTCAACAGGAAGTATATCTTCTCCATTAACAAAGCTGCGGCATTAGGCTTGCAATGAATTGTTCCCTCTATTACCTCTTTAGGAATGTCAAATTCATGACGTTGAAAAAACTAAAAAAACAAAGAAAAGAAAACAGGGAAATCAATAACAATTCATTTAGTCTCTATAACAACCAGAATGTTCATTAGCCAATGGAGATTAGAGAATTCTGTCTAAATTTCCCCAGCCTGAGCTTATCTTTTATTCAGATGCAGAGAGTGTTTTAAAGCTCAGCCAGAGGGTGGTGTAATAATGATATAACCAATTTTTTCCCATCAGTTACTGATATATTTTAAACTTCCAAAAACTTATGTATCAAATAACCATAATTGCCCCTAGTTCTTAACTTGTGTCCTTACCAAATACCACAAATTTATAAAAAATGACTAGATTTATACCCCTCCTGTTATATGAAAAACCATATTCCTGATTGAAAGACCCTGTGTTGGGGCATTCTGGCTTACAAGTGATTTTAGCAGGTTTATAATTTATCCTTTGGTTAAATCTGTTCTAAGACAAAATATTTTCTCATACACACTTGTATCTATCATCATCAAGATCTCAGAGTACATCTTGAAATCAGTGAAAGCGAAGAAAACATGTATTTCATGTTAAATGTTTTCTTCTGTAGAACTTTTTCCTATTCATGGGACTAATGAGTTAAACATTATATTGCTGGCTAAATAATTCTCTGATCTCTGAAGACAAATGAACATCCTGCTGTATACATTTTAACTTTAAAACTGATTTACCAGTAAGTTCTCCTTATGAGGTGAACAGTAATACTGCAAAATTTAGCAGATAAACAGGTTACAAGAACACACAAACAGATCAGCTGGAGCTACAGTGTGTTATCCTGATAAAATACCAAACCCGGTTGCTTTAAAAGGAAATTCATCGCAGTTCAACAGTTTGGAGGTAAAGGATTAAATATTAGAGGGTGGGTCTGGTGCTTTCTATGAAAAACATGCAAAACACCATGTTTTCCCAATTCTAAACCACAAACCCACTAGTTCCGACTTAATTCAAAGAATTCAAAGTGGTCATTCCACATCGTTTTAGTAAGCTTAACTTAATCGAGACTAGTCCCTTTGATACCGGTGATTTTACGAAAGAGAAAATGAACTAGCGAACCAAAGACGCTTACCCTTTGTAGTTGAGACCAATTCCCTTGTCTACAAGGCAGGGATGTGCCATTATCGTAGGAGTGCATCTCAATTTCTTGTGGAAAATACCAAGAGAAAATCTCTGCTACGAGATATCCATTTGAGAAATCTCTGTTAATTTAAAAAAGATAAATGATTCGATATTAGAACGAATCAAATGGACAACAAATGATCAATTTGAAGATCGTCTTAATAAAACTCTATTTTCACGTTAAAAACACTCAGTTTTACCTTCTAGTATTTCTTACGGGATGTGAGAGGTCCAAGCTTTGTATCCATTTCAATATTTCACGGGGTAACCCGCTCATAATTGTGTAAAATCCCCTTAAACTCGCAATATATCTGCTTTAGTCTGTTCTCGGGCGCAAGCAAAGATATTTACGTTTCCAAGGGAATGGAATTACCCATGATTCTTCACGATCCTATGAGGTAACTGATAATATCGCGGGCGCATCAATGACATCCATTTGATTCATGGAAGGGTCGAGAGGGTAAGGCCTTTGTGTTGAAAAGAAACGATAGTTTGTAAAGCGCTCCCGAAAAAGAGCATCTAATCACAACTGACCGGAACATTATTCTCTGGGTCATTTTTGCGATCTGCATTGAAAAAATCGAACTAGATAAAACTGGTGACGCAATCATTTGTTTATTTCTGGTAACGGAACCGGATGCCCGAAATATAGAGGCTGTCAAGTGAGAATTAAGAAATGATTTTTTGCGTTGTCCTTGTTGCTCCAAAGCTTTCATCCTTATTCGCTTCTCCCAAATACTTTTGGTTCCTAAGATAAGAAATGATCCTCTACTTTGGTAAACAGTGATATCACAAAGTTTTCCGTATGTAACGGCTGCCGATTGATTCGCTTAATGATCTGGAAAAGTTTCGATGTTAGTGTAAATTGGGAATAATACATTTACAAACCTTTCAATTTATTCAATTGGTACACCTTTCATGTAAAAATTATCGCGTGTCGAATAAAAATTTACTTGTAATAAATTGGAAAACGATTTTAATGACACGTGCTTTCATTTTTAAACTCAAGATTAAAACATCAGAAGAATAAAAACAAAATCGAGAGCCACCAGCAATATACCTGTCCCCTGAGCTCTGTTACGATTTTTAAATCAGCGACCGTGACATTTCCATTCTTTGAAGCGGAGTATCAGCTGGAACCAATGAATCGGAACGGAAAACTTGAAATCCTGTCGTTCGGCCACGTGAGGTATTTAGACAATTTCATATTTCTCGAGCGTATTCCTTTATTAAATAACCTTAGAACCACGTCAAGAGAGCTTTTCTCCAGCCTTTTAGCTTTTATTATTTAACGCAGTGCCGGTTAAATTCAAAGACAAAAGATTTAAATGTCTCGGCTTATGAATAATTGTCACATCAAAAAAACACGTGCTTTGCTAAGGCTCACACATGTTTCCTCAGTTTGTTTATTGTTCAGGGCATTGTGTCGCCGTTGCTCAGTTGTTAGCTGTTCATTCAAGCGAGGATACACGAAAAGGCGCTGCAAAGCTACTTTTAACGCAAATAAAAGACTTCTAAAAGACAAGTCGCACAGAGGCTCAATCAAAAGAGAGGGCAAAAGCGGGCTTCTATAAAGCTAACAATATCAGATCTAGGTTTCAAAACAAGATCATTAATCGAGTTATTCATAGGCTCACAGCAACGGCCATGCTCCGAGCAAATATGCTGTTTTCCCGCGAAACATGAAATCCCCTGTATTTCTGGCCAATCACAACTAGGAAAAGAAAGTGAACCACCTGCCAGCCAATAAGAAGGCAGAATTCACAACATCTTAACAGGTGGACTATAGAGAAAATTTGGTCATAAATTTAACATTACTTTTTGCTCAGAAACAGGTCCCTTAGTGATAAAAAAGTCTTTTGTAATATTTCTGTCAAAAAGACTCTTTGTTGGGAGCAAATTAATGCCAAATAGCCATTTTTGTCTTTTGGTTAAGCCATTTCTACGAAGCTTAAGCGGATCTCGTACTCGAAAGCAGATTTCTTGTAAGGCACCAATTTTCAAACCTGTGTCTTTTCCTGGATGATTTGAAAAGACTGTAACATTGTTTACGCAGAGACAGCAGCCACTAAATTGGCCTTAATCTGCGGAAAGTACGCAACACTACGGCAGTGAACTGGCCACAACAGCTGCTCCGTGGCTCGCCGGAGAGAAATAATTCGCACAACTTGAGGTTTACCGAACAGATCGCTTCATAAGAAAATGGGTTATGGTGGTGAAATTGGATTTAGCATGGAAATCACTTCATATTCTCCCGTCGCGTCCGTGATAGCAGTTTACTGTCTCATGACTATTGGAATAAATATTTTCGTCTGTTACTACATCTACCGCAAGAGGTGTCTTCGCACTTCATGTACAGCACTGATCGTGGCGAATCTGGCTGCGGTAGACGTTTTGGTCTCGATCAAAGATTTGCCTCTCTTGATCTCCGTGAGCACGACCGGAAGGTGGTATTTCGAGGAACACTGGTGCCGGAGTTATGGTCTCACCAATGTCATATACATTATCGTGGCGATTTCGACATTGGTTACCATTACGACTGAACAATATTTCCGATTGACCGAGTCACAGAAATCCCAGGGAAATTCCTCTCGCTCTCTACCACTCGGTTACATCATTGCACACACAACACTTTCATACTCGCTCTCCTTGTTGTGGAGCAAGTATGTTTTCATCAGTAGAAAGGCCTTTTGCGAGGTCGATTGGCCGCCTTCCGGGTTAGGTTTCACTCTCATTACATCTTGCATCTTCCTCATCCCAGTCTCTCTTTTGATCTACAACTTCTTCGGAAATGACTCCGAAGACGACAAGAACTCGAGCGAAAAGGCGAAGCTAGTCAAGTTGGAGAGCGGAGAAAACGAGGAAAGCGACGAAGATAAGGCTCATAGTCGCCTGCAGCTCGCCATTTGCACTTTCCTGGTCACGTGGTCTCCGTACGTGATTGAGAGTTTTGTCACGTACTCGTCTGCGGTCCCAAACATTGTTGGAGTCGTGTGCGCCTTTATTCCGATTGTAACCACGACTCTAATCCCTCTGTGGTACATTAAGTGGAGACGAAAAGCTGACAAAGTGCAATTATTTTCTTCATACCACATCCAAAATTGTTAGATCTTGCTTAAATGCTTGAGAATGGCACGCAAAGTTTTCTGATTCTTTCGATCTCTATAATTGTTTCCTGGTCGCTATCATAATTTGAAATTTGAAGGAACAAATATTAATTGGGAGTTTGTACAGACTGTAAGGCATCGTCTACACGTCTGATGTTTACTTTATCCTCGGGGAAAAAAAGTTGTTCATTGATGAAATTCCGTCAATATCAGATTAGGAAACCATTTCGCAAAATGTCTATCACTACGGTTGTACATTTGCCTCACTGGCCATCTTGCGACAAGTTTTTCGAATAGTTTTAGCCGTGAGTGGCTTAAGATTGAATTAATTTTGAGAATTAACTTCAGTGAAATTGAAAAAGAGTTAATTTTATCGAAGCATTATTCTTTGAGATAACTAATTAATAACTATTGGCGGATTGGTTTCGAATTTATTTTTCTTGTAAATAACTAAACAAATTTGATTATTTTATTTCGGATATACCATATATATTTTGGGCTAGAAACTTGTCAGGTTCCATATGATTTTATTTTCTCAGATCACAAAATTTATGGCGAATTCTCTTATATTTTCTCTCGAATCTTGTAGCTATTTTCCTCGACCGTAACCCTCATTATTGCTTATGAAATCTTCCGTTAGGATAATTACAACATAACCAAGAGAATAAAATTAATTCTTTTCTCTTAAACAGAACCAATATTTTCTTTCAACTTACAATGGTCAGACAAACGTCACTACCAATTACAAACTCTTTTTTGTTCACAAGCGTTGAACGGAAATACAGCGTCACGTTGATAGAAAAGTGATCTATTAAGTTTGTAAAAGAAAATACATTAAAAAGTAATTAATTATTTGTTGAGTTGGTTGCAAAATTTTATTCTTAACAGATGGTGTAGAGCCGCCCAATAGCCTGATTGGTTAGCGTTATCGAACTGCCAGACTCCCTGCCAGACCTTAACTCTCTCTCATTTTAAAATTTTCTTGAGCTGAAGATCAGCTGTCGGGTAATGAAAATTCTTCTGAATCGACTCTCAGTCTACAACTAGGAAGGAATGCCATGAATTAAAACTGCCCCTTTGATGAAGGTAACATATTGTGACAAAAGCCAAAATGACAATTTTTTGAGTCAGTTTTTGCCCCGTGAGTGGATGAAGTTATCGCCGGTATTTAACTGTTCCAGAAGAGGGGTTCAACTACATTTTGAACATCTTTACTCTACGAATGTTCAGTCAGTCGCCGCCAAAACACCCATTATTTTTCTCAAAACACCCATTATTTTTCTCAGTATTTGGACGGCCCGTTTGACTCTGCCATAGCCATGCGAGCAAATAAATGGTTCTCGGATACGCAAACGGTTTTGATTTTCTGCATCGTGTCAAAAGCGGTTTGGTAACATCTAATAGCGTCACCGCTCATAATAATGGCGAAGAATTAACCCTTCTCTGACTTTTTCGCCCGTGGCTTTCTATGGACAACTTTTTTCTGTAGTTTTTGCTGTGCAAAGTGATTTCAGTATTTACCCAACACATGTTTAGGAGGAAAGTGTTTTTGAAGGAAAACTATTCGTTAAATGAAGTTGATTCCCGTTCACTCGAACTTGAAGGGACATTAAAAAAGGTCACTAAATTACCGGAAATAATGGAATCACGGGAAAGGAGAAAAAATAAACGGAAGCTAAATTAAGAAAAAAGCCGATTCAGGGTTGTGAAAGTTTGAGTTACCAAGGATAGAAATTATATATAATAACATACGACAGAAACCCAGGGAAATTATTTAGCCCGCGAGATTACGAGTAAAGAATTTATCAGAACTCTTGTGACCGAACTGTTACCCAGCTTACCTCGTCTTTCAATCCCAGCGCTCTTTGCAGGCTGTAGTAAATATCCCTTCACTTCCGATTTTCTTTTTCCAAGCGGTGACTTTTTTCGCGGAAAAACATCGCAGTGAATGGCGAACTTTGACGCTATCTTTGACGAGAATCTTCAAGAGGATGAACAAAGTTCGCGTGTTTCTGACGAAAATGTCCAGGTGACACTAGAGCCGGTTGTTATTCGCGGAGTAGGACACATGACAGTGTAAGCTTTGTTTACGGTTAATTTTACGTGCCGTCCAGAGTTCGAAGTTCTGCCATTGAGAAGATGCCTGGCAGTCTCCTAAAAAACTAGTAACATTTGTTATACAAGGAAATCATTACCTTTTCCTTCTGTCCTTTTAGGTTCGGGCTCAATAGCAAGTTTGATGTGGAATTTCAACAAGCCCTTAGTGCCAAGGTGAGGTGGTTGTTTCGGTAGAGTGGCTGGATTGAATCACGCGCACTCAGTCGTTTTATGGGGGTCTTTAATAACAACGTTAATATCCTTTCCGGTGACTATTTCATCTAGTTATGGTTTTTATATCACTGCTGGCTACATAAATTACTGATATACCAAGTTTTACGACTTTTGCTCGTCTAAAAATCTTAAAAATAATTGTAATAATTCGAACAATCGTACGTGTGCTTCCATTGTTGCGTGTGTGTTTCACTTTATCGTCGTTTACCGTTTGTCTGAGTAATTGTGGCGACTGGAGTCGTGATCTTCCTTCATTTAAAGCAGCAACCAAGATGACTGTTTCTTCTGCTTTTCTCGCGCTCTATCAACGTGTACAAAGAACGCCATCGCAGATGAGAATAACGTGCTGAGTGGATATTTCGCTTTGCTGTACTTTGAGTTTTTTCTCATAATGGGGTCAATCAATGAACAACACTCGCAGGAATTTATCTCCTCCATCTGGCTTTTGTAGCTCAAGTCTTGGATGTAATCACCTTGCTATTTATGATTTGACCAAGGATATAAAACCCATTTCTCTCTCGTTTCCTCTCAATTGGGCATGAAAGGTTCATCTGTGCAATTAAATAAAACCTATCAAGGAACATTGTTGTTTGCTATGATAATGTTTACTAAATTTTGCGGTGATTAGTGGTGTTGTTAACTCTTAAGGACAAAGGACTTAACCATAAAGTAGTATATACTCATATATTGTTGAAAACATCTATTTTACCTTGTTGGAAGTGGATCATTGCTTTAGATCAATTTATGATAAATTTTTCAATGTTAGCATATTTAATGCAGTTTAAAGGTTGCCAAGAAACTTTTTAACTCACACATTTTCAGTCATGAAAATATGACAAGTACACAGCAAATGTCTGTTACTTATTAATACAAGTTTATGGTTTTGTGAAATGGTAAATACTTGTTAAATATCTCAGACCTTCGGATTCTGTGCTCTGATGCTCTACCACTGAGCCACAGAGACTCTATGGTAAACGAGTTCATATGACACACGTCCTGCATACCATTAGGATCAATTATGTATATAGCATCATGTTTGTAAATAGAATGAGAGAGATGCTTTGTAAAGAAATAGAGAAAGATGGTTTTTGTCTTGTGATGAGCGTGGTACAAAGAAAAAATTCTGAGTCCCCATGAGGAATTGCGATGCTCTACCACTGAGCCACAGAGACCTATGGTGAATGAGGTCTATTACAAAGTTCATATGACACACATCCTGCATACAGCTGGGATCAGCAATGAGCATTGGAGTCCAGAATCCAAAGGCCTGAGGTTTGATTCCTCACAGGGACTCAGAATTGTTTCTTTGTCTACTGGCACCTTTCAAATGACTCATTCAAGGCTTTAACTTGAAATAAGATTTATTTAATTTATTGCATGATCACAAGTGATCAATCTCAAGTAAGGAGTGGTTAATGTGAGTCCAACTTTCAATCACACTGTGGCAAAATCAACTGAAAAAAAAGAGTCGCACATGAGATGCAGCTGAGTGTGTCAGTGATGTTGTTACAAAATTTTGATGTCCTCTGTGATCTATTACTTAACAGACCCTTATCAACCTACAATCTGTTCCTACCAAATAAGTTATAAGTAACAGCCAATCAATGTGTGTTTCATTCAGCTTCATATTAATGTGAGAAAGAACATTTGATTTGTATGTGATACTGAGAACATTGAACTTCTTTCCCTGGAAGTGGCTGGTCATAGCAGTAGGGGTACTTGAAAAAGAAAAAGAAAAATAAAACCCTGAGGCTTTTACCAACATAATCCAATGTTTGTCTGACATGTCTTACATGCAGGTAGCCCCAGAAGAGTACAAAGCGACTGTCACAAGAGTTAATAGAGTGCTTAGTAAGACAATGCCTGTCAATGTCCGCTGGTTACTCTGTGGATGCATATGCTGCTGCTGTACCTTGGGAATGTCCATGTGGCCTGTGGTTTGTCTCAATAAAAGAGTAAGTGGACCCAGAAGAAGTAAACTTCAGAACATGTAGTTGAAGGTCCTATCTAAAAGATAACCATGTTGCTTAATCTAATCCACACAAACTGCAGTTGGTACAAAATTTTGGTGCCAGAGCTATATTAGGTTTAAGGAAGTTTAACTGTATCTCTAAGGGACAGAGATCTCTTAGATGGTTAGATGTGACGGAAAAGGTTATGTTTAATGACTTAGTTTCAGCATTCAAATGTATAAATGGCCTAGCTCTAGATTATTTAGGTAAATATTTTGATAAAGGTTCAGCAGTTCACAACAAGAACACAAGGGTATGTAGCAATTTTGTGGTCCCCTAATGTAGATTGTCAATGGGACAAAGGCATTTTACTTTTGGGGTCCAAGGGAATGGAATGGGCTAGCCAACAATATTAAGAACACTAAAGAAATTAATAGTTTTATGAAGATACTTTTTAATAATATGTTTTGTACAAAATAATTTTGAATATATTTTGAATAACTTTGAATATATTTTTAATTTAATTAAATTACTGTAAATAAGCTTTCTTAATTACCAGTGTATGGTAATAGACCCAGTTGAAGGGAGTTTCAATCAAGTATGTATGTAGGTATGAATGTAATAATGAGACTGGGTATTAAGAACTTAGCAGCAGCAACAACTTTTCAGCCAGGCAGGATTGGGATGAACATGCTAATAGCACCAGGATAAGGGATTAAAAAAGTCTGAACCCTCAACTACTGGCTTCTCAGAAATGACTCATTCAAGGCTTAAACATGAAATAAGATTTACCTTATTTATTACATGATCAAAAGTGACCAATCTCAAGTAAGGAGTCTTTTGTGAGTCCAACCATCAATCACACTGTGGCAAAATCAATGAAACAGTTTCCATAAACTTGACCCATAATATGAATATGATAATAATTGCCTCTCAGAACTCAGATTATGACATCTATTTATTAAGTTAAATATGTATTTGTTGTTACAAGTAATTCCAGTGATTTGAAGTGACTTCTGCTCTTATTGATACTTGATCAATCTTTTCTTTGTTGCAGACAAGACATTCAATAAATAAGGTGTTAGATGCTGAAAATAATCACTTGTATCATAAGGTATGTCTTTCAAGGGAGTTTTGAAGTTTCTGTATTTCAGATCAGGCTTTTTATTTTTGAAGAGTTGTAAAAATCTCCTATGTTTTGCAAACACTTTCCGAGACTGATTAATTTTTATGTAAATGTCTCATGAAAAGCAATGGTTGAATGAAAAATAGATTATGTTAGGTGGTAATGTGGATAGTATTTACATTTATACTAAATGAAGTAGGTGTTTTCCTAATTCTGAGTGAATAAATCCCACTGACAGTCAGAATTTATTTCCTCCACAGCTTGGGCTTCACTGGCGATTAAATAAACAGCGATGCAATTCCAGTAACATGATGGAATATGTGAGTGTTTGCATTGGGCAATTGTTTCTATTTCTTGCTATGAACATGATTTTAAATCTTTGACTAGCATCATCAGTACCAGTGGGTTTATGCAGTTGTTTATTTTTTTGTTGTTGTCCTTCAAGTCTGTCTGGAAGATTCTCCACCAAAAGCTGACCAAACTCTTTGTGTGTGTTGGTTCCTTTTGGTACTTTATTTCTTTCTTATCTTTCTTTGAAGATGAATATGAAAATTTCGTATTTACACCCTAGGTACTGCTGGTCGAGTTCTTACCAAAGGAGCAAATTTTACGACCTGACTGATGACTCCAGAATGTTTCACCTTCCTGATATAATTCTAGAATTGTATATTTCATAAGATAATTTGTAATCTGTAATATACACTGTTGTAAATTGCAAATTTATGATAAATTTATCAATAATAATTGAAAGTCTTTAGTTTTCTGATGAACTGCTAAGTTAACTCAGGATCCATACAATCCTGTAGTTAACTTATAAGTTTAATTTTAATTCCTGGTTGATCATGCAGTCTCAGTCTAAATGACTTTATTTTTATATGAAAGACAAATTTAAAAAAGTTCTTTATTCATGTATTTACATATATGTCCATAAGTTATAACCAATTCCTATTTTTTATCCAATGATTTATCCTTGAGTTTTGAAGAGAGACAGAGAGGAGTTATTGCAGGATCTCTTGCAGGATCTCTTGTTGTGCATGCCTATTCTGCCATGTAGGTCAACCAGGTTAGAGGGGAAGAGCTTTTAAATCTTCAGGTCACACAAAGCAAAGGGGAAGAATTTGACCATATTTCTACTGCCAATAACAGAACAACTTGATCTCATTGATTTACCAATTAAAATGTGACTACCCAAAAAATATTGGGTAGCCCTGGTATAGCTCATTGCCTTGTTTGAAGAGATTTTAGCTATTTTATGTAAATAACTAGTAAAGCCCAGAAAACTGTCTTGAATATGGATTCCTGCTTTTTCCAATAGAGAGGACAATATCACAGGAGGTAGTTCTAGGGTTATCATAGCTTATATCAGTATGTAAGTGATCAATGATCCAACTATTGCTTGTGAGGAATATAAATTAATTTTCAGCCTCTATTAAGAATGAATTTAGAGATATTTTTAAGTGATATTGTTTAAGGTTTTAAGTCATGTGAGGGTTGAGCTGTAATGGCCTTGTAGAAGGAGTTTGTATAATATTAATGTTTATCTTAACGCCAATAGGTTAGAGAATCCAAATTCTTTGCACACAATAGAAGCTTTACGTATTTATTTATGCAATCTGTTGTTTCTATTGCCTTGGAGTTCCAAGTTTGAGATATTTCCTCTTGAGCTATTTTAAGTTGAGTTTCACTGGTAATTTGGAATTGCAATGGTTTTGCTTTGCCTCACTCTTTGATTGGTTTAAAAAATGTTTGCCACCCTCCCACCAATCTAGGAAGCCATTTGCAACTTGGTCACTTGCAGTTTTCTTTCTTTTAGGCAGTTTGCTTGTGTTTGCTTTGATCTCTTATCAGCTCTTGTGATGTTTACCTTTGGTTTTAGTGACTGTTGCGATTACTCTTGTCATAGTTTATTGAACTCAACTGAAAATATGTTCGATTTTATGTTTTGGCTAGATTTTTGTGTTTCTTGCACAGTTGGTCATGGTTGTTCAAGAGCTGGACAGTGTCTTGTAACTGATAATTCACAATCCAGGAAATTATTTCCTACCTTTTGAACAACTGACTGTTGTACTGGTTTTGCCATTATTTTCTTTTCCTTCAAACTAAAGTTATTTCACTTCAGGCAATTGTTGTAACAGGCAATTGTTGTAACAATCCTATCTTTGCTCTGTGTTTTTCCCAGTTGATTTGCACATGCTGGCATGTGTATCTTTGGTGCTGGCACCATTAATTTCAAAGGAAGAGTTATGCTAATTTATTTTTTATTGATTAGGTTTTTACATTGGTTGAGTTATAAGTACTAAGTTGGTAAGGTGAGGGTTATATGTGCAGTTTATTAGTTACTGGGTAGTAAAGCGTTGTTGTTATATTGGTGTCAATAAAGTGGAGGAAAATTGATGTGTTTCTATTTGTTTTTGTGTTTTTGTGGTTTTTTTTTTTTTTTCATCTTTGGTATTAATCAGTCACCTCTTTATTAAACTGATCAAACAAGTTAATTGTAAATGAAGTTTTTTTTACCCCGGCTAAGACTTACCGTAATGATTTGATTTAGCGCCTAGGGAGGTTATCAACGTTTGGTTCCTAATTAACGAAACGGGGCGCTTCTTTCTAATTTGCGAAACAGCAGAATGTGCGAAATAAAGCTTTGATGTTTATTTGAAAAGAATCAATTGGACTGGAAAACTGAGTTGTTGTACTAGTATCCTACCTGGCCAGATCGACCCGCTAAACAATCTTCACACCGCTTTTAAGACAATGTTATTCGTTTGAAGAAACTGTGCATATACGTGGCTATAAAAACCGAGAGACTGAGACCACTGTTTTTGAAGTAGGGCTTTAGGTGAAAAATAACAGGAAGATGAACTACGGTTGATCTCAATTTACATGTACTCTAGCAGTGCCAGCACCGAAACAGAATAGGGGTGTTTATTAGAATAAGAGGTGCTTATTAGAATGAGAGTGCTAACTCAACACGGACGCTTTTTAGAATAGGGGCGCCTATTAACAAAAATCAGATTCGATGAGGGGCGCTTATTGGAGAGGGGGTGCTTTGTGGAAGGAGAGCGCTTAGTCGAATCATTAGGGCAACAAATGTTTCATTCTTCTGGCGAAGTACACCAGTTGTAGACGTTCTCCCTTTTTTTGGCTTTTTTTTCTTTAGTATATCTACATATTAACCCTTTGACTCCTAAGATCTGTCCCCGGATGTTTGGAGGTTTGATAGCGTCAACCACAAGATAACTCTATCCAGTGGATAGCGCAGTACTCTTGGTTATCACTTATTTGTTGGAGAGCGATTTATTCGTTGGATAGTGTTATTCCGTCTCTATGCAACTTGGTCTTGGGAGTGTTAATTCTCCCCTCTAGCTGTTACACGTTTTCTTTTAAATTAGTTACGAAAATTTGGCGTCAGATCAAGAAAACAACTTCTACCCGACAAGTGTTAGCATGCTCATTATGCAGGCAGACACTCCAGTGGACTGGGTAAACGCTAATGCTAAGTAAACATTCCTGGGAACGAGCATCTTGGCGCCAAGTTCCCGCCAACTTGCTGCTGTGTTTCAACATGGCGGACGAAGCTCGCTCTCCGGCCAAAAAGCGAAGGAAAACCGAGAAGAGAATCTTAGATCGGGACAAGAAGATTGAAGAACAAGAGCAGTCGGCTAAGGCAACAAGTAAAATGATTTATTATAGCAATGCCTAAATTATTTGTTTCGAGATCAAGTATTATGGAAATGAAATGCTCGAAGTATAAAAGTTACAAGTCAGGCTTAATTAAATTGCAGTTAATAGAATTTAAATTGAAGTCTGATGTTTTTAATTTTTCGAAACTTTCCACCATCTTTAAAAGTTATCCTTCAAATTTATACTCTTTCAAATCTTTCCGAGAGAAAGAAATCTAATCAAACTCGATGCAATTGCAGCTGTTTATACGATACTGTTAAGTAGGTGACATTTAGCAAGCGCCCTGCGAAAGGTAATCAGCTTGAAAATTTTATTTCCACAATTTACATCGGTGAGTGACCTCATCAACCTTATTCTAAAGCGTTAGGATTAGATCTTAACTGACGAGATGAAGCTTTATTTTTTTTCCAGACAAAGAGGAGACAAACGTCTCAGATGTCAAAGACAAACTGAGAGAAGCACTCAAAGTTGACCTTCCTCAAGACTTCTTTGATTTTTGGGAGTTTTGCAAGACCATCAAAAGCGATAATCCATGTGGTAAGTTTAAAATTTGTTAACTCTTATGCTTAAGATTTTAGCATACTTTCTCCTTAATTAGGGCTATATACTTTTCTGTCTGTTAGTTCAGAGAATTTGTTGCCAGCCAGATAATTTTCTTCATCCTCCTCATCTCTTATTAGAGAATATGTTGAATTTTTTAGAGAGAAATTGGAACTTTGATTACATGAAGGAGTGAAGAGGTTTTCTACAATCAGCTGTCAAAAATTAATTCTTCCCGCTTATCATTTTGTTCTTAACCCTTTCACTCCCACAAGTGACCAAGACAGAATTTCTCCTAACAATATCAATACAATATCAAGCAGGTAGGTGATGAGAATAGAGAAGAATATCAATTATGTGATTATTTGTTGATCTAATACCAAGTTCTCTAAACTAATATCATAAGAATTGTTTGGCAGATAGTAAGGAGAATTAGTGATTACATCTTGGGAGTGAAAGGGTTAATGACAGAAAATGAACACCACACTTAGGGTGGATCAATTTGCAGAATCCACCAACAGGACTCTAGATATTTATTTTGTTCTCTTCATCTGTAGGGGCATTAAGTGATTCTCTTGGCTTAAAGCTGGTTGGTCCATATGATATATTATCTGGATCATTTGATGACATCAGTGAGTCAGACATCACATCATATCACCTCCATTGGAGATATTACTATGATCCACCAGAATTCTTAACTGTCCTAAAAGGGGATGATAAAACAGGATATCATGTGGGTTATTACAGGTAAGATTTGTGAACAAAATTATCAACAAGAACATTTAAATGAGCAATGCTGTAAAGTTTTGTGTCTTTATTACTGAGCCAGGAAATAAACTTTTACAAGAAATAAATATTCAAATGTTGATATTCTGTAGTACAGAACAGGAGAAACACAATTTATAGAGGATAGTAAAGATTGGCTACCTTAAATTAACTCAGATTAAAATTGGCAAATGTGAATCATTTACAATATACCACTTTGTTGTGAGTTTGAACACTGTTCTTGTGCAGGCCTGTAAGAGCACAACAGAATGGAAACAGAACATTAAATTATTAATAGCTATATTGATAACAGAACAGTCAGGTCAAAGGCCTATATTCCTTCAGAATACAATGCACTAAGTGTAGTAACTGAGTAAATATATATGGGTCAATGCCTCTAGTAATTAAAACATAAGACAAAAGAGTTTGACAAGGGAAAAGAGACTTGGTGTTAGTGCCTTGATGAAAAATTTACCATTACCAGACATATTTTAATCAATTAATTTCCTTGTGTATCAGTTATACAGTCATTGACCATAACCAGCTCTTGTTGTTTCTCAGAGATGACCCTAAGAGTCCTCCTGTGTTTGTAGCCTCTAACCAGGCTGAGAAGACTTGTGAGTTCACAGTGCTAGGAGAAAACCTTTTCGCTGCAGTCAGGTAAATAAAATTAACTGTTGGCTAAGGAGATGGTCACCTCCTCAACAGTTGTTTTCAGTTAAATTATTGCCCTCCCACCCCTAGACACTTTCCAGTCCAGGAATTAATTAGGATTAATTTTAATACACAAGGATTAATTTCAATACTCTTATTATATTAACTGCCATCTGACAATGCCTGTCTGTTCTTCTCTGACATTGCGTTGTAGCAAGTTCCTTAGCGATTTTATGAAGATGTCCAGTGCTAAATCCAAACAAAAGTCACTGAAAGCTCTACAAGCTTCATTGACAGTGCAAGCAAAAAAGTTGAAATACAGCATTGAGATAGTAACACCTGCAATCAAAGCTAGGAACAAGAGGGTTGTTAGCAAGACTTTTCATAAAGCTGGGATTGTAGTCCCTGTGGATGCAAATGATGTTGGATATCGCCCTCTTACTGTGACTGATGGTGAGTTCTGGTGACCATTGCTTTGATCTAAGGAGTAACCCCATTCAAAACTTTCCATATGTAGTACACACTGAAATGTGCCTTTAATGATTCAGTGACTTTATGTAGCAACCTATGTGGGTTCAGATTAGTGGTTGGATTCTCAGGTCTTTGCTTATTTGATTTTCAGGCCAAAGCCAAAATTGCTTAAACCTGGTAACAATTTTCCCTCACTTTGCAATTGTCCTTAATTCTTGGCAAACAGGTGAACTGAAGAAAATTCTCAAGCGTATCACGGAAGGTAAAACTGAAAGAGAGAAAGAGCAAGGTTCGGAAGATCTCCAAGAAATCATGACTCTGGTACAGTTTGCGAATGACGAATGTGATTATGGCATGGGACTCGAGCTGGGACTAGACCTGTTCTGTTTTGGAAGCGAACGTTTTCACAACACCATCTTACAGCTGTTGCCTCTTGGGTACAGATTACTTGGCAGAGATGAGTTTGCGGAGATAGCAGAGATTCATGTCAAGAACCGAAACAGGGCTTCACTAACCCAACTTCCATCCTGATTGAATGAACTTTCATGTTTATCACGTTTCACGCATCTCACGCATTCTATTATGGAGTTCAGATGACAGCGAAAGAAACCTCGTTGCAACCATTTTAGTCATGTCTAGCATCTTAGATATAATCGCAAAACAGGCTCCGAAATATTTTTTTTTAACTTTCGCGCCAAGTGGCGATTAAATAGCTTTGTCTCAATCGATCGAATGGAACAATTTTGTTGCCAAAGTGAATTCATAAACAGCTGAAAGCACAGAAAGAAATTTTGCCATAAACTTCGCGGGAGTTGGATACTTGCAGCGCGTGTAAAGGACTGGGACCTAACAGCCGGTTAGAGCATGCGCATTCCGCACATTTTAATGCCATTAAAACGGCGGCCAGTCGTGAATGATGAGAGGATATACGCCTTTGACAGAAATTAATTGCTATTGTGTCAGAGATACCATAATGAGCTAATCTTTGTAACGGTACCCCGTATGAAGAGCTTAAAGCGGCGTCATTCAGGCTTATGTAGACGGAATGTTTGTGAAGATAAAGTAGAACTTTGGAAGACCGCGAGAGAAAGATAAATGCTTAAAACAAAGTAATGAATTTTTATGTGGTTGTGCTGTGATTTTCTCAAGTCTTGCCGCAAAAGTGTATGAATCTACAACAGTGTACCACGTCGATACATTTCAAGTTATGAATCAACCTGAGGACATGTTTAGTAAACCCGTAATCTCTTCAAATCCAAGAGAGGATTTTCGTCCAAAACCTTCGACTCTTAATTGAATTGTTAAGTTTGAGTTCCATAATACGATTTTCCTTATTTGCACGCGGATTGAAATAGCAATCAAGGTGTGCCTAACAGTCCTTAAAACCTCCTGTATTTCGGAAAATCTATTTGTTTAAGTTTTTGTTTGTTTTTGTGCCCACTGGGGAAACGCCACCGGGCTTTTTAACGGTTATTTAAACAACATAGTCACTGATGATGTTGGCGAAAATTTCAACTGAATTAGCTGAAAAAAAAAAAAAAACAAAAACAAAACACCATTGGCTTGAGGAGGTCTAATGATTTTGAAAGTGGGCCGAAAATTTGCATGAATTTTCAACCCCAGTTTTACGACAACCATCTCTGTCACTATTTCGTTCATTTTAATCCTTCACTTGATGTTTACGAGTCACTTTTTTTAACATTGGCAAGCCAAAGTGAACTCCAGGAATGAAAAAAGGGAAGGTTTAAACATGAAACAGGACCTTGATATCCGGTTGCGTTTTTCCGTCAAAACCACTCTACATTTCCCCACGCCCTTGACACATCGTTAAATCTAGTTGAACTGTGTTTGTTTTACATATTTCACACCCTTGGAACTTCGATAAGCTGTCTTTGTTGTTATTGTTTTTTTCTTTGTCAAATCAAAATGTCTTTCATCCGCTATTTCTTATTACAAAGAAGTTTTCATGCCATTGTTCCACTTCAAAATTACCCCGTTTTTCCATCTCGGATGACCATCCCACATCAGTTACTAAGAGGTGTCGCCTGTGACATCATATATCACTTTGTAACTCGACGGTTAAAAAAATTGTTTGATAGTGGTGTCTAAGTGAGTAAACGGAAATGCCTCCTAATATTGTTGACTCGTGATATCCGGATGCAGGTTGAGTTTGATAATTTTTTCGTGTAATAAACTTTGACGCAAGTTTGGGTGTAGCTACCGAATAATTGATATTTAATTATCCACCTTCCTCTCTAAGCGTCATTATTTAGCCAGGTCAGACTTCAAGATTCTTCGGAATGGACTATTAGAAAATTTGCTTTTCTAATTCAGTTTCTCGTTAAGTGACCGGGGTAAAGTTGCATTTCTTTCACATGGAAAGAAAATCGATGAATTTTACATAAATATCCTCAGAATATAAAAATCCCTTTATATCAAACCCTTTCATCCCCAACTCTGATCACCAACTGCTTTCTCTTTTATGCAATGATTATAATTCACGTGATTACCAAGAGAATGTAGTTTTAATCAGTTGAAAAAAGTTTAAGGTGCAATCTCTTCAATGATTTAAAGTAAGGTCTTATAGATCGGGTGTAACAAAAAAGGAATGCTGTTATAAGCTTTCGTTTTTTTTTTCTTACAAAGTTTGTTTATTATTTCAATCGCAAGTGGACATTTTTTTTTCAAAGTAAATTGAATAAGACTTCACCGACAGATAGGTTGAAGGACAGACTGAGCAGGCACAAGAAGACCACCATGCATATCATAAAAATATCACTATGGAATACTATACTGCAAAACGGACTTCAGTCTTTAACTCGGAACCAAACTGAATGTCTTCCAAAGAATTTAACACATGTTTCATTGAGGTCAAATTTTGAACATGGAGGTTAATATTTCCCACTGAAAGGATCTAGTGATAAGATTTAAAATAGTGTTTTATTTCTTTCTTGTAAACCTCTTTAACAACTGACTTTAAAAAGAGGAACTGAACTGAACTGAAACTCACAATGAAATAATAAGGTATAAATGATGACTGTTGATTTTACACCGGCCGAATGGATGAAAATTAAATTTGAGGTTTGAGGAGGCTGCATTGCGAAATACAAAATGGAAAACCTTTCGTTAAATAGCTAGAACGAAAAATATTGAGCAATTTGAAAAAGGTAGGTTCCAAGACTAGAATACTTTAAAATGCATGGGAGGTATCTGTCGAGGTCTATCGTACCGAAATAAATTGAAACCATTTGCACATACTGAACACTTAATTTAATAAGGGAAAGTCAAAATTTCTTATGTGATACAAATCAGACGTATAGCAACTGATCATGAAGAACTAATGACTTAGTATTCTTGTAAGTATATCCCACTGTGCGTTTGAATGAATCTCTCAGCTATTAAGCGTAGCTGTGGCCCGCTTCGTGGTATAAACAACATCTCTCTCTCTGCCGGAAAGGAAATCCGGCTGACGTGTTAAGTTGATTGTTTCTTAACAAGTTGGACGCAAAATATCGACAACACTTCAGAGGTTAATTGTACAAAATTCAAGGCAGAAACAAATTTAAGCAGGAGTATCCTGTACCTATCGATTGTAGACACGCGTGGTGAAATTTTGAGGGAAATTTAGTAAGTTTCGTAATATTGTTGTCTGGTGAAATATTTACATGTGTTGGCGAATTTGTTTTGTCCTACAAAAATGACTGCAAACTTTTCAGTATACAACATCAAAATGTACAGTGTATATATAGGCAAATGCAACATCAACATCAAAAATTTCCAACCATTAAAAAAGATGTGCGTGGACATGTTACTAAGTCAATCATCCACCATGCTGTACAATCTTCGGATTTCATTGGGGCTTGTCTTTGTGCTTTCAAACGTGGTCTCGTTCTTTTTCATTTTCATTCTTCGGTTTTGGAACCATATCTTGATGTGTTTTTCCGAGAGACTTAAAGACTTGGCCAGCTCTATTCTTCGCGCACGGGTTATGTATCGGCTAAATAGAAACTCTTTTTCCAACTCGACTTGCTGTCTTGTTGTGTACGCTGTTCTAGCTCGGGAGCGCACCGTGGCGGACGACCAAGATTCCCTTCCCCGACCTTTTGGTCTCTCTTCTGACGAAAATAACACAAAGATTTATGGTACTGTGTTAGTCTGGTGAATATGCCGCATCTAACCGGTATGACGTTTGGAAATGAACGATTCAGAAACAGCATTTCAAACTCTAAAAGCGTTTTCGAGTCTTCGTTTAAGTGTTCTTTGACCGAAGAAGATTACTGAACTTAAGTGCTATAAAGAATTAAATTTGCCTGACTAAGCTTATCCGTTCTGTTAAATGTTTGACGGATCGTAAATCAAAATGGATTAAAATACCATTTTTTACTAAAAAAAGTGCTTATTGCATTTAATTAACGGCTGGCATCTGTCCGCCGTCGGACCCAGCCTAAATTACTCGGGACAATGGCACTTAAAGTAAAATTCTAACCAAAATTGTTCACGCACAAACGCACCGAGGAGCCTGAACGTTAAAATTAAACAGCTCTTGCTCAGACACTGTGCTTTGATGGCACAATTTTTCGAATCATTTCCTAATTAAATTAAAAACTACGTTAGGTTTCCAACATACAATCTTTCGGCCATTTTGTGCTCTATCGTGATCTGCAATGATCTACAGTATACTACGAGCTCAGAGCAAATATTTGGTTGAGTAATCCTCAGCTTTTACTTTCCTGGCTAGAAGATCAAGTCACAACGATCTACTATAAAAGTAAATTAGCTATTCTACGGTTAATTTGATGCACAATCACAAAAACAGCGTAACTATGGATTAGCGAAGAGATCAGGGAATTGAAATAATGACACGGAAGGATTTTGTGGTCAGCCTGAGTTGTTTCCAGAGCTTGTGCTAACAAGCTAATTTCTGTATGAGATCAAACGTGTTACTGAAGCCCTTAGGTTGAAACCTCACCTCGAACATGAGTGCGCGATTGACGCACATAAATCATTCCACAGAACATAGTCAGTGCAAAGTCACAGCTTCATGAATAGAGTTGGAATGTTTGCGATCTCCTTCGTCGCATGCGGGAAATTGGAACTTCATCAATAACTGAGTTTACAACCTGGTTTGTCACTGGTTTCGAAGTAATATAGTCTTGATAAATCAAACCATTTCATTGATCAAATTTAGTTGTTTTTCTCAAATGTGAAGTCTTCTTTGTGAATACACGGTCACTCCCAGACAGACTTGAATGACAAGTACAGAAATCGAGAAGGGGTTCTCGCTGATAGGACTGAAGTCAGAGCTCCAATTAGATTCCTTTTTTAGTTGTTTTACTTTGTCAACAAAATTTAATGACATTAGGAATTGAACGTTTAGCAAAATCGCTTAATGAAGTTTAAGTAAATAAAATTGTGCATGTGAACACGACGAAAAGATTCAAACACAGCGGAACTTCTGTAGAGTACTCACTCAACGATCTCAAAGAGCTCAATTTGGCTTTCTTGGATGCCCTTATTCGAAGAACGCAGAGAACGTTCCTATCTTCTTGGGCGGCCTTTTAGTAATTACATTTTCAATAAATCGATTGTCAGCTGAGTAATGGTTAGTCCTGTTTTCTCTACAAAACATCTCTCTCAAGCTGAGGAGAAATCACCCAACTGAGTCACCGAGGAAGAAGTATTTACGTCGAAAAGACGTTCAATGCGTCATTTTAAGACCTTCGGCAAATGTTCAACGCGCGAAATTCCTACACCGGCGTCACGAGTTTTAGTTATACCTTCGCGGATAAGAAGTACGGTAAGCGGCTAAAGGCGTCAAAAACAATATTTCCGATCATTCTTATACCATGAAAACTTCAATGTAAGCTTGGTTGTCTTCTTTGACAAGATGATTCACATCACATTTTTGACGACAAGAGCAAAGGGCAATTCACGTAATTGTGAGATTCTTAAAAGTGCGAAGTTGAGCCTTGGGTGTAAATATAGCGTTAATTTGCGTGTGAAAAGTCAGCCGCTGGCTTATTTTTAAGTGAATGATAAGACGTGAGGGAAATATAAAAAACCCACCTGTAAAGGTAGTGAAACACTGGAGAGCATCTTCTCCGCAGGACGTCCGGCCTCTGTTTGGGTAGACCCTTGCACCAAAGGGTGGTAACGCTGAATTCAAGTCTTGTACTAAAGACTGAGAAACTGTTGGGAAGCCATTGCAGATCTCTGGAAGGAGAGGAATGTTCCAGTCCAACGGTACTTGCTCGGGAGCTTGTGTTTGGCGGTAGCGAAAGCATGGTGTAACATGATAAGCTCCAGTGTTGTTGGTTTGCGCACTATTGTACGGCTGAAGTTGTGCTCTACTCCTTCCTGGCGCATGCTGCGAGTTCATCGGATAAGTGAATTCGAGACCGCTGCTGTTGAATCGATCCACGGTTTTTGTCATGTTGCATGTACTGTTCATGTCAAGGTTGACAATGTCTTCTTGAAGTGAAGTACGCCAAGTTTTTATTTGATTTCGTGAGCTCCATGGTCACGTGTCACACATTGTTATCCAATTACCTGAATCGCCTCAGACGTTAGAAATAATGATGTGATAATATTCTGTCAAGAGTCTCTAGAAATTCCGATGGTAATAGAAGAAAACTCTAAAATAAACGTTCTTCCCGACTGAACCACCTAAGGCATTTGCTCAGTCTCAAAACATTCCCTATAACTTCATGTCATCAAGCTCTCATGAATCCTTCTTTTTTTTCCGGCTAAGGACGATAATCGCTGTGATTTGTTTACCGGTGCAAGAGGATAAAAAAAGTTCATTAATTTTGGAATAACACCCACTTATGATATATCAGAGCATTTGTTTTATTTAACAGCAAGAGTGCAGTTTAGTTAAGGAGACTTGTGCTAGCCTGAGGGAAACATTGCAAAAAAAAGAAGCAAAGTGACACTGGTCGCAAATTTTTGCGCCGCGCTACAAAGACCAGAAAATCTATAACGAAATCGTCTGACACAAGTTGATCTTTAAATTTTATAAATTTAGAAGAACAATTTTTCATTTATGGACATTTTTTCAGTGTGGCGTCGAGCGTAACTCATCAAAACTCATTAATTATACCTTTTGACAGTTAATGCAGGAATCGGTTACAAATTAGAAGTTCATTGTATTTCGACACATGTGATGTCTGTTACAATATTATCTTGCGCTCTTATGCCATATTCTTAGGATCTCAGTCCACCATCAATTGTGTTTTAAACACCAAAGACATGTAAGCTCCGTTAATCGGTCGCCAAAAAGTCTTCTAAAGACGCGCGAACGGCATTGATTTCTTGTTTATAAAGTGGAAAAAGTCGCTTAGAATTTGAATGTAATTCCTGTGTTTCCTGTTTGGCTACAAAGAATTCAAGGACTTAGTTTGTTTTGGCTTTTTATGTATTTTAAAACGACAGGTCGATTAAAATGAAACTAGAGACTACAAACAAACAAATTTTTGTCACAAGACCCAACAGGTATGATTTTCCTGCAAACATAGCAAAAAAATTAGTCAAGAATTCTTTGGTAGTTCTATTTGAAACTTTAAGTTAAAAAAAGGACCGAACTAATTTTCGGCATGTTAACGGAAGGAAACACCTTAGTTACTAAAAGAACAATTCTGTCGATTCTTTATAGATCTCGTGATACGAACCATCTACTTCCCCTTTCCACAGAAACAATCACATTCGAGCAAGTTACAAACTCTCACTCTCTTCAAATAGTTAGTGTATTCTTCACTGAAAAATCAAGTCCAAATTTTAGATGTTGGTCGTTTGCCATTCGGGTCAATAAGTATCGTTTTAAGCCACCGTCTTTCTTGTCAAGCTTATTCTCCTCAATTTGGTTTTTCCATTGAAACTTAACTAATATTTGTCTCTTTACAATATTAAAGGTGTTTTGTACATCGCGGGAAAACGACATTCCACAAACTAATCTTGATTCGCTCTGTTCCCACAGAAAACACATGCGAGAAGATCGCGAGTGCTGTAGGTTTATTTTGAAAACTAGCGTACAACTCCAAAACTTTTACATATGCTTGCAGCCGTTTTCGATTTCTGATGACGTTACACTCAAGATTTTTAGAGTTAATATATGCATGCAAGTAGCGATAAGCAAAAGCTACCCATCGATTATCATTTTGCTGCGAGCGAGCGGACAAAACGTTTGGCTTAAAATCGGTCAAAATCATTTACCTTGTGGAACGTTCTCTGGTGTACTTTGATCCTTTGTTCTGGGATAATAACATGAATCTGACCCCTTGCAAATGAAATTTCAAACTAACTGTGGGACGTAAGGTTTGCAAGCAGGGAGTCTCACTTGCGGCACTAGCACCTGGATATTACCCAAGCTTAGCTGAGGTATGTCCAGTCACGTGACATGACAAAACCAACCATCACGACAACTCACTTAGATTCCAGGTGGACGTCGAGAAAAAAAAAGGGCATGGGTTCTAACCTTGGCTTTAACTCCTTCTTTGAAAACGAACCGGCAGTTATTTTTTTTTTACATTTGACACTTAAATCAAAGAAATACGTACATGCCAAAATATGTGAGTGGTTAGTCGGGCTCAGAGAGCTTCTTATTACAAGGTTCTCACAAACTACATAGTATATATTGTGTGTAATCACAAAATACTTAGGAAATTTGATGGTAAAATAACGCAACAAGACAACAACGAAAGATAGTACGAATGAAGACTTGGTAAAAATTTGGAGATAATGCGGAATATTGTTAAGATTTCTTCATAAAAATGGACTGTTTGTGATACTGTTTTCAGTTTCGGTAGACTTCAGAACATTTAGCCACAGCCGCCATAGCTTGGTTTTTCCTTGGGATCAGCCAACGAATGCTAGACGCGAGGGGTAAAAAATTCAAAGCAACTGAAAGTACTACCCAACCAAACATATATATTTATGACAATATAAGGGATAAATTTGCCAGAATTCATTCATGTCACATTTCGGCCTGTACCTATTTTTGTAATCGACGAAACCATTTCATGCCAATAAAAATCTTGTCCTACAAAGTAGCGAAAAGATTTCGATTTTAACATAGCCTGAATCTTCAAATGAATATGTATGTTGGCATTCAACCACTATTTAAAAAATAATCATGATTGTTCACGTGGCTTTCAAAACCATAACCTCCATATGCTTAAATCGGATTTTGTTCAAGGAACAGAGTGCCTGAAGAAGGATGGATGAGCATATTTACAAAAAAAATGAAGGCAGCTTCGTCTGTCACCCTTCTACAAATGTCTTCAAACGCAGTAGAGCGTCACGGTTTAACGATGAGATCCAAACGTTCCCTCCAGTTCCTTTGGAAAAGTTGATGCAAGGGGTTGCATGGGGTTTCTGAGTTGTCACGCAATGGAGACAACACGGAGCCCTCAATTAAATAGCGCGCCGTTGTTTAGAGCTTCTACTTTCTGTGTCAGTAATATTTCTATCCCTTCCCCCCCCCCCCCCGCCTCGTATGAACGCAAGTAGCAAATAAATTAAGTGTGCATTTGTATTTTATTGACGGAGCTAACAAATGGATCTGATTTCGCCTACGTTTCTTTTGAACTTCTGGAGGAGCAAAATCCGGGGCTACAAGACGTAACCATTATAACGACATACATATTTTTTTACGTGGCTACACTGTAGTTTTGGCAAATGAACTTGCTAGTCTAATAGTCAGTAATTTGAATCTGGTAAGTCTTAGCGGAGATGTCCCTAACATCGTTCCTTGAGCGTTTGTAAGCCTTGTAGGCGTTTCCATCATGAGAACCTCGAGAATACGGTTACTGTTTCCGCTGGATAAAACCATAGTTTATGAAACCACTGTCTTTTGCTAGTTTTGCAGATTTTGGAGTGCAAGTTCCAGCTTTTTAATATGTATTACGAACCGCGGAATGGGCCCGAAATTGTATATTGCGAGAACACCCTCTCTTTTTAGCCGATCTTCCCACATTCCTACGTATTGTAGTGAGTTGTTTGTTATTCCTGCATGCATTAAAATAGCATTGATAAACAGATACTCACCACAACACGCAGGAATGTAGACAAATCTGCAAGGGTTATTGGGTGTGGTCGTGATACAAAAATTTTGGGCCCATTCTCGGGTTCGCTAACCTTCGTAGTAGTTTCGGCTGCAGAATATGGAACCTTTATTCACACTTGGGTAAATCTCCCTAACTGTGTCTTGCAAAGAGGACATAAATGGATCACATCCTTAAATGATTTGATAAAGAAAGGTATTAAACAGCAGCCAAAATGACAGCCAAAGGCACATAACAAACCTGCTAGTGCCCAGGTCGCGCTACTTACACGGTATTCAGTGTATGTCAAGACCCGGATCCCACATGAAGTGCAACAAGTCGAGCCAGGGACATCTTTAAAGCTTTCATACCTTACTTGTGGTTGAACATCAAAGATCTTTCGACCTTCTTTCTTGGTAAATGTTGTTTCCTGAACAAGTTGAAGGGTAACACTGCTTTTGCTGCTTTCGCTTAAACTTGTTGCCGACTCTGAGGGCAGACAAGTTATTTCGGGAGTAACACAAAAGGCCTGTGGAACTCGGAAGTTATTTGGAAAACTTTCCATCGGGTTTTCGTGCTCCATTGACAAATATGTCTCGTTTGAAAAACTAGTGCCAACTCCAAATGACTCCAATAAGGCGGAAATACTCGATTCAGAACAATCAGCGAATCTACCAGCCGGGCGCAGGTTCATGTTAAATATTTCTACTGCCTTAGGTCCTGCAAAATAAAAATAATACCTGACATCAATTTGCAGTTGACCTTTTCATTTAATGACAATATAGGGCCACGCTCAACCAGGATGCTTTGCAGGGGAAGTGGCCATTCTCAGCTGTTTTCTGTATTTCAGAAAAGGAAAGCCAAAAAGAATACTAAGGGGGGAGAGGAAGAGAAAAATTGTAATTTGAAATTTAAAAACGAAAGGGATTTTCTACATGAGTTGCCCAAAGAGAGGAACACGTACGAAATTTCAATTACATGTGAAATACAGAAAGGTAAACTGAATAAAAACAGGCAGCAGTCTCACGATAGCTGGGACAATGAAAATAATAATTGGAACATTAATGATCGTAAGAAAAACAAATAAAAGTAATACTACTGATGCTATAAGATATCATTGTGCATATGTAGAGTTCTGTTGTTTCGTCTTAAACAAAAAAGGCGTTATTTGGTGAGGTTTGACAAACATATCCGGCATATGAGACTGCCGATTTTAATTTAGAGGACTGATCGGAGTAGTCTTGTATTGGGTTTTTGATCGCTGACAGTTTTTGGAATAAAAAGCAGGATGGAGATATCTGAAAACGTTATAGCTCGGTGTTGCAGGGTTGTGGACCGATATACGGCCCTCTTTTTTAAAATGCTAACTTCAGTACGCATTAAGCATCTGAATGTGTCACCATGTAGCCTCTTGATAGTTGTTTACAGCATATAAACATATCTTGTATTAAAAGGACTTTAAGTAGTAAGGCCATTCAGAACTAACTTAATGTCTCAGATATCACGTATAGAGCTTTATGCTTTAAATGAAGACAACTGGGAAGGTTTGTCGGGTAACAGAATTTTCAAACGGGGTAATTTAAGTTAAAGAAGATGTTTCAACGAATATTCGACTCACCGGCGCTTCAAATGTTTTCATAAGCGTTTTTTTCTGCAAAACACCTTCACCGTTGCAATAATTTTTTAAAATTCACGCATTTATTAGAAAAATCATCCAATCTTTGATTTTGTGTTCACGTCAAGTTCTTGCTCCAAATAACGAGATATTCTTGAAAACCAGCTTTACCTCAGTAAAATGCTTAATTAAGTAATTTTCGAGCCGCGGGAAGGAAGAAATAATGAATAAATTCGTTTTTTTTTTAAGTAGAATAACAGTTTTGCTATCACCGCCTTTAAGTTCATTAATTTTTAAGGCCCTTCATTATATTGTTTCGAAAGACTAAACATATTTTGAGCAAAACGCCTCTCCTAAATGTTAATCGAATTTAAGAAAATCGCTCTTCAACTTGGGACTAAAATTCGCTTTCAAAAGATAATTACAGTTGACCTTGAATTTGGGAGAAAATTTTAACTAATACTCATCTCACTTCGCATATAAAGCGAAAAGTTACTTACCTCGAGTTGAAAATGAGTCAATTCCTCCTATTTAGTATAGATTCTTTTTTTAAATGAAAATCAGTCGACAGTCCTTCGAGACAGTGCTTGAAAATTTCTTGTCTACAGCATTGCCCACTTAATTCTTTAATTTTGTCATTTCCCTCTGTGTTCGCCGCCTATGCAAATTTGTATTCGCATTTTAGCAATTATCCTCACCGTGTTTATTCTTTCATCTTTTTTTTTATATACTTGAAGGGTTAAGATCTTTTGTCAAGTTCGCCACTGATATCAAAAGATTCTGAATGACATTAAGTGAAAATTTAATCTCCAATTTACTTGACCGCTCAGGGCTTGAGAAAGAACTGGTTTGTTTTACATTTTACTATGAAGATTTTTGTTTCTTGAAATTGAAATTCTGATCATTTACTTACCTGATCACCACAGGGCCTGAGAAAGAAACTGTTTGAAGTTATCTCCCGCAAAGGACACACTGCGCACAATTTTCATCATACACTTTTCAAAATATGTTGCTAAAATATACTAGGAGGGTATAACATGATGTTAAGGTGACGTCATAGGTTACGTTAAGTTGCCAAGCAACCTAAGATGATCGCAGCTTTCACCGAGATGAGGCTAAATGTACCATGTAGTGGCCTTTTGGTTGACGAAGTTCATAAACTATAAATTTGTGCCAGGGTGGACGTTTGAATTGGACATATCGGCATAAGGTATAAGAAACTTGCTTGAACCTCTCCTAAACTACCAGCTTAGTCAACAAAAGGAAGTGGGCGTTGTAACGAGACAGGGGTGTATCACTGCACTTTCCATTTCGAAGACAGAACCACTGATGTTTTCTTATTAATGCTCGTTGCGATAAAAAAGAGACTAGAAATTTTAAGCAAAAACGACACAAAACGAGTGAGGGACATTGAGCACGAAAGTTTGCATAACGCTCGCTTTTTTTAGAATCAAAAACAAATTAATTTCTCTCTAACAAAGACCTGTCGGCAGAGATCGTTCACTCATGAGAGTTGTTGAGCATTTTCTACGCTGTTTGTCAGTTGGTGATTAACCGGCCGTTGTTGAAGAAGCTATTTTGGCAGTTAGGTCTGTTGCCTTGTGGAGAAATAACTGATGTAGAAAGGTTTAAATAATTAAATTAAAGTGAGGACTGAGCGCCGGAAAAAAAATTGAGAGGCCGTCGGTGAAGGTTCGATTGCCCTACTGTGTGCAAGAATAGTTTGGTTAATAATCACACCCGGCCTAGCTAGTGAGCGCATGTTACAAACTTTTGCTTCTGATTCCGCAGTAAGGCTCATAGATATACTCGAGACCATGCAGAAGAAGAATTAGACTCCACCTTTGTTAATTATACTGTCATCAATAAAAACTCTTGTGTATTTGCTTAAAAAGTCCACGTCAATTCTGTTATCTGTTATGTTCATTGATGTTCAGCATCGTTAGAGTCCCTGCCGACCGAGTGTCGTAAAACCAAAAGTGAGGAAAGCACAACGGGCAATCAAAACAAATGAAACAATCACATGAAGCCAATGAGAACGTAAAATAAAAACAAGCAAACTGCTTGAAGCTCGGGTAAACGTGAGTGACCAACGTACAGTTCCCATAAATCTTTATTGTATGCATCCTCTTCCCCTTTCACCTCTGTATTCACATTTTGACGAAGCCAGTGCTGTATACAATTTTAGCATTTTGGCGTGGAGTTTCCAATGTCAATAAAAAAAGTTGAAACAATAATTCTAAGTGGTAAAGAACGTTTTAGGGATTATGACTTCCTCTGAATAACGTTCAAAAAATCTCACTGATTCCTCGTGAACGGACTGTTCGGCGGGATTCTCTGTAGTTTTTAGTTATCGTATATTTAGTCATGGAAATATTATCTTTGAAAAATTAAACGTACAAAAGCAATTAAAATGCAAAAAGATAAATACAACAACAACAGAAAGAAACAAAAAGTAGAACGACAAAAAAAACAGCAAAAAATTAGATAACAAAAGCGAAAAAAAAATCATTCTTTACTGTAAATTCTCATTCTTCCTTAATTTTAAACAGTTACATTTTATTTCAAATTCTTCCTTCCGAAAATCAATTATAATATTTATTGTGTGCTCTGTTTAAGATAAATGAGACAGTTCACCTACAGTGGTCGTTCAAGCAAAAAAAAAAATTAAATAAATAAATAAAACAAAAACTAAACAATGACGTTATTAACCATGCAAAAGAGATATTGACCCTCTGCATCAATGGCGATGTTTTTGCGAATGTTTTGATAAAAGGAAAAAGTAACAACACGATGTTTTTTTTTAATCTAATCTTTACACACGCATGTGAACACATTGTTTATTGACTTGTTTTCTGACGTCATAACCACGTGCCCAGGTCGATCGAGTACATCGTTACTCGCTTAGTATCAGTCGTAACGATAGAACTAAGTTATTTACATTTCTATTGAGACCATTCGCAGTTAGGTTCGTTGCAAACACCTGATCGAGTACCATAAGTTGCTAACAAAACTTTTGCTTAAGAGCCGGCGTTATTATGCTCTTTCATTGACAAGAGAAAAAACTATAAATAAAAAACACCTAATTTAAGGTCAAAAATTTACCTGCTTTTGACCTTTGAGGGAAAATTGACGTTGCAGTTTACCGGCGGGAAGTTAAAACAGTTTGAAAAAAGACGCCGACAGAAGCTTAAAAAATATATGACTGCGGAATAAACAGGAATAACATTACAAAAGTTAATATGTACACTAAAGATCAAAGCATTTCACCTGTAGATAGCTGTTGAACAGATTTATACCAAACTGACGGATTAAAACCATTTATCAGCTTATCCTCCGACTGATGCATAACAACAGAACACCAGTTCTTGAGCGGTTATTTTATTATTCATTTCACCGGTCTTTTGAGCATACACGTGCAAAAGCGAGCGACGAGAATTCCAAGAGCATCTAGCATCGGTTGGTAACGCGTTCATCAACACCTGAGGATTAAATAAATACCAAAAAAGTGCAATAGGTACCAGCTAGCACGTGGAAATTATGGAACAAGTGTTTACCGCCTGTACACCAGAGACAGAAATAGAAAAACATAGATTATATATACTTGTCTTTTGACAACAAGCAAAGATGCTTGAACAAAAAAAATGTATATCGCCATGATACCTTCTTTTGAAAGCACGCCACACCATATCGTTGGAGGTAAATTCTCGTGAAACCCCTACAGCTGTAAAACTATATAAGTTAGAAATTTTTATCGTGGATGTGAAAAGTCCTAGAAGCGTAAGAATCTTTTTAGCGGCGACTCGCCAATGGCTTTTCTTCTTAACAATTTTTACGAAAGCAGAGCCTTGAGCTACATTGTTAAAACCTGTAGTTCACCTGTGTCCATTTAATGTTTCACATCCTTACCCAGACATGCAGTCGCCAGTATTTTAAACCACCCGGCCTCTACTCAATTGTTTTCGTTACGCTTTAAGCGCCCATCTATTTGGTACTTTTGTTCACAATTATCACACCTTATAGGTTTGGAACAAAAAGTTTTGATAAATACAGACGAAAATTCTTAAGACGCGTTTTGAAATGCTCTTCTGAATGA